TACTAGACAGGACCCATGTCTGTCCATGTAACAATGACGACTGTATGTTGTAGACAGGACCCATGTCTGTCCATGTAACAATGACGACTGTATGTTGTAGACAGGACCCATGTCTGTCCATGTAACAATGACTACTGTATGTACTAGACAGGACCCATGTCTGTTCATGTAACAATGACTACTGTATGTACTAGACAGGACCCATGTCTGTCCATGTAACAATGACTACTGTATGTTGTAGACAGGACCATGTCTGTCCATGTAACAATGACGACTGTATGTTGTAGACAGGACCCATGTCTGTTCATGTAACAATGACTACTGTATGTACTAGACAGGACCCATGTCTGTTCATGTAACAATGACGACTGTATGTTGTAGACAGGACTCATGTCTGTCCATGTAACAATGACTACTGTATGTTGTAGACAGGACTCATGTCTGTCCATGTAACAATGACTACTGTATGTTGTAGACAGGACCCATGTCTCTCCATGTAACAATGACTACTGTATGTTGTAGACAGAACCCATGTCTGTCCATGTAACAATGACTACTGTATGTTGTAGACAGGACCCATGTCTCTCCATGTAACAATGACTCCTGTATGTTGTAGACAGAACCCATGTCTGTCCATGTAACAATGACTACTGTATGTTGTAGACAGGATCCCTGTCTGTCCATGTAACAATGACAACTGTATGTTGTAGACAAGGCTCATGTCTGTCCATGTAACAATGACTACTGTATGTTGTAGACAGGACCCATGTCTGTCCATGTAACAATGACTACTGTATGTTGTAGACAGGACCCCTGTCTGTCCATGTAACAATGACTACTGTATGTTGTAGACAGGACCATGTCTGTCCATGTAACAATGACGACTGTATGTTGTAGACAGGACCATGTCTGTCCATGTAACAATGACTACTGTATGTTGTAGACAGGACCATGTCTGTCCATGTAACAATGACGACTGTATGTTGTAGACAGGACCCCTGTCTGTCCATGTAACAATGACGACTGTATGTTGTAGACAGGACCATGTCTGTCCATTTAACAATGACTACTGTATGTTGTAGACAGGACCATGTCTGTCCATTTAACAATGACTACTGTATGTTGTAGACAGGACCCATGTCTGTCCATGTAACAATGACAACTGTATGTTGTAGACAGGACCATGTCTGTCCATGTAACAATGACGACTGTATGTTGTAGACAGGACCCATGTCTGTCCATGTAACAATGACAACTGTATGTTGTAGACAGGACCATGTCTGTTCATGTAACAATGACTACTGTATGTTGTAGACAGGACTCATGTCTGTCCATGTAACAATGACGACTGTATGTTGTAGACAGGACCATGTCTGTTCATGTAACAATGACTACTGTATGTTGTAGACAGGACCATGTCTGTCCATGTAACAATGACGACTGTATGTTGTAGACAGGACCCATGTCTGTCCATGTAACAATGACAACTGTATGTTGTAGACAGGACCATGTCTGTTCATGTAACAATGACTACTGTATGTTGTAGACAGGACTCATGTCTGTCCATGTAACAATGACGACTGTATGTTGTAGACAGGACCATGTCTGTTCATGTAACAATGACTACTGTATGTTGTAGACAGGACCATGTCTGTTCATGTAACAATGACTACTGTATGTTGTAGACAGGACCATGTCTGTTCATGTAACAATGACTACTGTATGTTGTAGACAGGACTCATGTCTGTCCATGTAACAATGACAACTGTATGTTGTAGACAGGACCATGTCTGTTCATGTAACAATGACTACTGTATGTTGTAGACAGGACCATGTCTGTTCATGTAACAATGACTACTGTATGTTGTAGACAGGACCCATGTCTGTCCATGTAACAATGACAACTGTATGTTGTAGACAGGACCATGTCTGTTCATGTAACAATGACTACTGTATGTTGTAGACAGGACTCATGTCTGTCCATGTAACAATGACTACTGTATGTTGTAGACAGGACTCATGTCTGTCCATGTAACAATGACTACTGTATGTTGTAGACAGGACTCATGTCTGTCCATGTAACAATGACTACTGTATGTTGTAGACAGGACCCCTGTCTGTCCATGTAACAATGACGACTGTATGTTGTAGACAGGACTCATGTCTGTCCATGTAACAATGACTACTGTATGTTGTAGACAGGACCCCTGTCTGTCCATGTAACAATGACGACTGTATGTTGTAGACAGGACCATGTCTGTCCATGTAACAATGACGACTGTATGTTGTAGACAGGACCCATGTCTGTCCATGTAACAATGACTACTGTATGTACTAGACAGGACCCATGTCTGTCCATGTAACAATGACTACTGTATGTTGTAGACAGGACCCATGTCTGTCCATGTAACAATGACTACTGTATGTTGTAGACAGGACCATGTCTGTCCATGTAACAATGACTACTGTATGTTGTAGACAGGACCCATGTCTGTCCATGTAACAATGACGACTGTATGTTGTAGACAGGACTCATGTCTGTCCATGTAACAATGACTACTGTATGTTGTAGACAGGACCCCTGTCTGTCCATGTAACAATGACGACTGTATGTTGTAGACAGGACCATGTCTGTCCATGTAACAATGACGACTGTATGTTGTAGACAGGACCCATGTCTGTCCATGTAACAATGACTACTGTATGTACTAGACAGGACCCATGTCTGTCCATGTAACAATGACTACTGTATGTTGTAGACAGGACCCATGTCTGTCCATGTAACAATGACTACTGTATGTTGTAGACAGGACCATGTCTGTCCATGTAACAATGACTACTGTATGTTGTAGACAGGACCCATGTCTGTCCATGTAACAATGACTACTGTATGTTGTAGACAGGACCCATGTCTGTCCATGTAACAATGACTACTGTATGTTGTAGACAGGACCCATGTCTGTCCATGTAACAATGACGACTGTATGTTGTAGACAGGACCATGTCTGTCCATGTAACAATGACTACTGTATGTTGTAGACAGGACCATGTCTGTCCATGTAACAATGACGACTGTATGTTGTAGACAGGACCATGTCTGTCCATGTAACAATGACTACTGTATGTTGTAGACAGGACCATGTCTGTCCATGTAACAATGACTACTGTATGTTGTAGACAGAACCCATGTCCGTCCATGTAACATAGACTACTGTATGTTGTAGACAGGACCCATGTCTGTCCATGTAACAATGACTACTGTATGTACTAGACAGGACCCATGTCTGTCCATGTAACAATGACTACTGTATGTTGTAGACAGGACCCATGTCTGTCCATGTAACAATGACGACTGTATGTTGTAGACAGGACCATGTCTGTCCATGTAACAATGACTACTGTATGTTGTAGACAGGACCCATGTCTGTCCATGTAACAATGACAACTGTATGTTGTAGACAGGACCATGTCTGTCCATGTAACAATGACGACTGTATGTTGTAGACAGGACCCATGTCTGTCCATGTAACAATGACTACTGTATGTTGTAGACAGGACCCATGTCTGTCCATGTAACAATGACTACTGTATGTTGTAGACAAGACTCATGTCTGTTCATGTAACAATGACTACTGTATGTTGTAGACAGGACCCATGTCTGTCCATGTAACAATGACTACTGTATGTTGTAGACAGGACCCATGTCTGTTCATGTAACATAGACGACTGTATGTTGTAGACAGGACCCATGTCTGTCCATGTAACAATGACTACTGTATGTTGTAGACAAGACTCATGTCTGTCCATGTAACAATGACGACTGTATGTTGTAGACAGGATCCCTGTCTGTCCATGTAACAATGACAACTGTATGTTGTAGACAGGACCCATGTCTGTCCATGTAACAATGACAACTGTATGTTGTAGACAGGATCCCTGTCTGTCCATGTAACAATGACGACTGTATGTTGTAGACAGGATCCCTGTCTGTCCATGTAACAATGACAACTGTATGTTGTAGACAGGACCCATGTCTGTCCATGTAACAATGACTACTGTATGTTGTAGACAGGACCATGTCTGTCCATGTAACAATGACTACTGTATGTTGTAGACAGGACCCATGTCTGTCCATGTAACAATGACTACTGTATGTTGTAGACAGAACCCATGTCCGTCCATGTAACATAGACTACTGTATGTTGTAGACAGGACCCATGTCCGTCCATGTAACATAGACTACTGTATGTTGTAGACAGGACCATGTCTGTCCATGTAACAATGACTACTGTATGTTGTAGACAGGACCCATGTCTGTCCATGTAACAATGACTACTGTATGTTGTAGACAGGACCCATGTCTGTCCATGTAACAATGACTACTGTATGTTGTAGACAGGACCATGTCTGTCCATGTAACAATGACTACTGTATGTACTAGACAGGACCCATGTCTGTCCATGTAACAATGACGACTGTATGTTGTAGACAGGACCCCTGTCTGTCCATGTAACAATGACGACTGTATGTTGTAGACAGGACCCATGTCTGTCCATGTAACAATGACGACTGTATGTTGTAGACAGGACTCATGTCTGTCCATGTAACAATGACTACTGTATGTTGTAGACAGGACTCATGTCTGTCCATGTAACAATGACTACTGTATGTACTAGACAGGACCCATGTCTGTCCATGTAACAATGATTTGTTTGTTTGTTTGTTTGTTGTTTAACGCCGCACTCAGCAATATTCCAGCTATATGACGGCGGTCTGTAAATAATCGAGTCTGGACCAGACAATCCAGTGATTGACATCATGAGCATCGATCCACGCAATTCGGATCGATGACATGCATCAACCAAGTCAGTGAGCCTGACCACCCGATCCCGTTAGTCGCCTTTTACGACAAGCATAGTCGCTTTTTACGGGTTGCTGAAGACCTATTCTACCCCAGATCTTCATGGGTCTCATGTAATAATGACTACTGTATGTTGTAGGTTGTGGCACTCACAAATGAAGGGAAGTTTGAAAGTAAAGCCACAAAGAAAAGAACATCCAAGGATGAATGTAAGTGTTGGTATAGTTACTTAACCCATGGCCAGAGGGTAGCCAGGACCCCATACTCCAAACTAGGGCTGGGACGAGTCCAAATTTACTACCCGGGTACCCACCCCCTATTACCCGACCCTACCCAGGTACCCACTGTAGGTCTCAGATGTCTCAAAATGTCTGATTGGGAACATTTTTAGTATAGCCCTGGCAAAACGTATTTAGATACGTGTATTAAACTATCTGGTCATTCACACACTGATGTTGAATTAAGTTATATCTTTATTCATCCATATGAAAAATCTGAAGGAATGGGTGCATAGTCAGAAAGAAATAAGTGACTTGTAGTGTAACCATAGAGTTCTAGATAATTTTTGTCATTAAACAATATATCACATGACCAACCACGGGTCCGGGTAGTCCTGTGGGTACCCGGGTCCTACTCAGTACCCACCCGACCCGGGTACCCGAGTTACCCGTCCCAGCCCTACTCCAAACACAACTTTATTCACCCTTGTAGCCATTTCATTACCCTGTATACCGGTACTTTCAAGACATATCAATTTTAACAATGCAGTCTTGTTAGTGGAAGCTGGATAACTAGGGAATAGAGACTTTTGGTTTCAAATATATCAACACTAGTCGCTAAAAGTTTTAAAAACTTTATCAACGAGTGTTATATTTGATATAAAAGACATGAGGGTGAGATTCTGTTTATCTGCAAAATTATTATGCCAAACTTTTTTCAATTTATAAACAGTAATAACCTGTGTCTTTATGTGTAAAAAGTACAGCTAACCAGTTCAGTGGCAGAGACAATAGAGACGTTGTGTGGTATCACAATGGTCTACAAAGCATTGTGATGCAATTTCGTTGTTGCAGTATCTCCTGCAATCTTGTGGAGATAACAAGGAAAACCGGATAACATTCCTTATAAGCTCACCTGGCTGAAAGTCATGTGATCTCATGGCATGGACTGTTTGTCCAGTGTCCAGCATCAGTCATGCGTTGTCTGTAATCGTCATGCATTGTAATTGCCATTTCGGATTCAACAAGACCATTTTAGCTGAAGCTTTTCATACTAAAAATGACAGCCCAATTCGTTCAAGAATTGAATCTGATTTTCAATAAGGTCACGATTGCCACTATAGTGAACAACTTATTCATGGCCTATAAATGCTGAACGTCTTACCAATATAAATACAGTAAGCTATGGTTATGATGAACGCCATTATAATGAACTGACGGACCGATCCCAATAAGCACTCCTTCCAATTGATCAATGTACACAAGACTTATTTATTCGTGTATAATACGCACTCGTGTGTCATATGCACCCTTAATTATAGGCAATTAAATTCAAGAAAAATATATCTGTCGTATATAAACAGTTCAGGCCGTCAGCATAAACCACGGAATGTACTTTTCAACTCTGTTTTTTTCCACCAAAATAATATTCCAATAAGAGTCCCCTATTTCTAATTTTGAGAGCGCCCTGGGCGCTTATTACATCGAATACGGTATGCTTTTACAAACTACGGTTATAACGAACAAATATTAGTGGTGCCTTTGAGTTTGTTATAACAAAGGTGATAACTCTTGATGTGTTCACGTCATCTGCTAGCTGCCAATATATCTGTGAAACAGTTCGCTGGCCATACCAATGAAGACATTATAGATAGATGGGCAAAAATTATACTGGTAGATAAATTTCCCCCGGGATGTATGGTGTGATGTAGCCTGCACTACACCATATCCTATTGTAATGCAAGGGCAATAACTCTGCATGTGTTTATGTCATTTGTTAGCTGTCAAGATGTCCATGAAATTGTTCGCTAGCCATACCTCTGAAAACATTTTCATTAAAAATTATGCTGGTAAGATATATTTGTAGTGAAAGGTTGCCTTTAGGTATATGGTGTGTGAGCCTCTCAGCATGGGGTACATCACACCATGTGCCAAGTGACATTGTAATACCTCTGTTAAGAATCTTGCAATTCCATTGGTTAATCTGTACACCTGACGAAACAATACATTTCAATGTAGACCAAAATCAGGGAGCACGGGTGGCCCAGTCGTCTAAGGCGCCGCAATTCGCTGTGCAGAGTTGCGTCCCTTGGGCACGCCAGAAACCTATGATCGTGGGTTCGAATCCCGATTATGTTCCTAGGTTTGTCAGCACCATACCCGTGCTTGTGGGTTTCACCGAAGTGGTAAACGTCTGAGACCTGCATCACTTCGGGCTTTCCTCCCACATTAAGCTGACATGCCGTGATATAACTGGAATAATGTTAAAAGCGGCGTTAAGCCCAACTCACTCACTCACTTGACCAAAATCATGTGACTGACACTGACCTTGAATATTGACTTGTCACATGATCAGAAGTGACCTGTCACGTGATGAATATTAACTCGTCTGCAAGAAAACAAGATGGCGTCTGGTACACTAACATTTCACAGTTCACAGCTAAGTTACTATAATGAAACAGAGGATGGTTTAAAGGCTTCAAATACTTTAAAGTTAATTTCGGAATAACAAAACGAATGATTACTCTTGATGAGCTAAATATGCAAAAACAAGGACTCCGATCAAACTCCCTCGGCGGTCTGACCTCCTTGGGGTCGGGTCCGTGTTTTTGCATATTGACCTCATCAAGAGTAATCATTCGTAATTATTTGTATATTGTGTCCTGCTTTTGCATCAATCCATGTCAAACTGAAAATGTCACATTGTGGAGTGCTCATTTCAAAATGTTTCAAACTTTGCATAATTTCCAGACGATACAAATCGACCTCCGTTATATCAGCCACCAAAACGAGAATCTGTTACCGAGGAGACGATGCCCAAAGTGATATCACTGCAGAAGAAGAGGAAGTCGCTGACGGAGGGGAAGTTGACGCGAGTGCCGAGTGCCAAGGTAGGAGATACATGGGAACTGGTGTTAAGGGTCAAACTCTTCATGCCGTGGGTTTTGGATGAGTTGTACAAAATTAGAAATAGACTTAGGTCCTCTTGTATTTCCATTAACAATAAAAAAAAAAAATTCTGACTGGAACGGGAACTTGTTCCAGTTTTAAGGCTTCACCTTCTTTTATGACATGGATTTTTGCAGTAAAGACAAGATATTTTATTGTTGACAACTTCTTTATTGTATTATATCCACTCTCTTGCTTGACAATGGTATTAGGATCTATTCCGAAATATCACATCACTGTAGTGAGTGAATATGGTTTTATGCCCCTTTTAGCAATATTCCAGCAATATCATGGTGGGGGACACCAGAAATGGGCTTCACACATTGTACCTATGACAAGTGAAAGCTTTAACCACTAGGCTACCCGACCGCCTCCACATCTTTATAGAATAAAGAAGTTGTCATCCATTAAATTTCTTGTCTTTACTGTTACTCAACAACTTTAAAAAATGCCTGTCAAACAGTTCATGGATTTTTAATTAGTGAGAGAAAATTACTGAAGGAATTCACTCCTAGCCCCCCCCCCTTTATCCAGAAACATCTTAGCAGGAGGTTTTCTGTTGCATTTACCATATATCGCTGTGTTTTTCGTACCTAAAATGAGGGGGTTAAGAAGAAGGGGGGTCGTCTTATACACAGAGTCGAAGATCTCATGTTTTTTTCCAGGTGTTTTACTTTCAGCTTCCACTGGCGATGTCAACCAGCGTCCGATAGCCAGCCCAGCATTTAACAATAAAACTTCGCATTTCGTCCTAAATAACTGTTCCAATTTCGAAGGCGTGTACAGGGGGGTCGTCTTATACATGGGGTCGCCTTATACACAGCGATATACGGTAGTCATTTGTAGGAAAACACTAGGGTCAGAGGCCAGGAATCTGTGTGTGACTGGCACAGACGTATGACCTCCATGTCTAGCCTAAGTTACGTCTCACTCCTTTGGGTGATGACACCTCTGGGAATGTTTTTAGGTGATTTTTTTTATCATTTCTTGGTTTTAGGTGAAACATATCTGCTGCCTTGTTGACCATGTAGCTACCATGTTTCCGTGTCTATTTGTCCACAACTGTATGGTCTAAGTAAATATGTGTGTGATCCAAGTAATCACTGGAGGAAGGCCGAGTTTGAGCTAACCATTGAGTAGGAGTGAGTGAGTGAGTGAGTATGGTTTTACGCCACTTTTAGCAATATTCCAGCAATATCACAGCGGGGGACACCAGAAATGAGCTTCACACATTGTACCGATGTCGGGAATCGAACCCGGGTCTTTGGCGTGACGAGTGAAAGCTTTACCCACTAGGCTACCCGACCGCCCCTCATTGAGTAGAAGTGGCTGTGTGCATGGGCCTGCTTTTGTTTTTCATGAAACAATGTCAGAGTTGTTTTGTTTTTAGGTTAAAAAAGACTTTATATGTATTCTTCCAAGGATGAGGATCTGTTTATTGCAGAATCGGTCAAAGACCCCAACCAACACAGAGAATATACCTCCAAGACCAAGTTCAGGTTTGAAGACTTACTGATACTTCATATTGACTGAATAAGTTTCCTTTGACACCGCTTTAAAACAGTGATGCAAGTTTAAGTCATAAACCACTTTGGTGAAACCCACGAGCACGGATATGGTGCTGACAAACCTAAAAAAAAAAGAATTCGAAGCCACGATCATAGGTTTCTGGCACACCTAAGGGAAGCAACTCTACACAGCAAATTGTGGTGTCACCTGTGTCCATGATATTAAAAACAGAAAGTGGTCCAGGTGTGTATCACCAAGTTCAATGAATTCTGTGTTCATGAGTCTCCTGTGTTAGAATAGGATCGGGGGTCTGACTCACTGACTTGGTTGATGCATGTCTTCGTATCCCTATCACAAAGGTCAATGCTTATAATGTCACTGGATTGTCTTGGGTTGATGGTCATCGTATCCCAGTTGTGTACATTATGCTCATGATGCCACAACACCGGTACACGAGTGTGTTCTTTAATCTGACCATGCTGTTGTGTTTCAGCAGGCAGCATGTCCCCGCGTCATGGCAGCCAGGTGTTGTCCGACTCGTCCAGCCAGACAGAAGACTCACCGATCACAACTGTAAGTGACTCTCTGACTTGATTTGTTTTGATAGTGTCTAATTTGTAGAAGTTACAAGTTGATGTTATAGGGCTGATTGTATTCTCTGTGTATATCTGATTTCAACAAAAGCTACCAGTATCTGCTCATGATTGTTGGTAATTGTGTTCAGAATTGACTTCATTATTCTTTGCATTTATGGAGGTGTAAAGATAAGAAACCGATGTACGAACGTGTAAATCCATAAACAGTAGACTTCGGTTACAAGGAACTCAAAGGGACCAGAATTGTTAGTTTGTTATAACTGTAGTTCATTAATAGTATATTTACAGCATATATACAGCAAATGGCCATGGCCACAAAACAGTTCGTTATATCGGTCAGTTTGTTTTATTAAAGCAGACCCGTGAAGATCCGGGGTAGAATACGTCTTTAGCAACCCTTGCTTGCCGTAAAAGGTGACTATGCTTGTCACAACAGGCGGCTAACAGGATCGGGTGGTCAGGCTCGCTGACTTGGTTGATGCATGTCATTATATCCCAGTTGTGTGGAACGATGCTCATGCCGTCAATCACTGGATTGTGTGTTCCAGACTTGATTATTTACAGACCACCATCATTTAGCTTGAATATTGCTGAGTGCGGCGTTAAACAACAAGCAGCACCAGCTGTTTTAAGCATGTTTGTCATAAACGTAGTCTACTTTAGCATATTTACATAGTGTGGACACCGGTTTTTAATGTTTATACTGCCATAAATGCGAAATCATTGAAGTCAATTCTTACACATCTATAAGTCAACAACAATAGCTTCACTTTTTTAATCTTAAACACAAAAAGCAACAATACGAATTCAGTGTGAAATCGTTCAGCACAATAATGCAACCCAAGCCCCACCCACCCAATTATCAGCCAATCAGGGAACAGCAGTCCGCTACTGGCATGACCTAAATTTTCTTTGGTCTGTACTAACAGATGCCATGAAATCACTTACAGTTTATTTTACAGTGCTTAAATTTTAGCACAGGACCAAAGCTTAAGTGTATAAAATGACATCAAACGTATATATCAGTCGGTCATGTTTGTAGAAATATTGTGAGGCCATCTTCTCAAGAACAACCAGACCAAGTAGCCTGTATTATGTTTGATGTGAATATCTTCGATGGTCCAATATTTGTTCATGACGTAAAATTCAACTATCGGCTCATCTTCTCATCAGCTCCTCTTGAAAGTATTGTGTCATTCTGATAATGACTACATGACTCCCCCCCCTCCCCCCCCCCATGAGGGTTAGAATTTCGCTTTAGCATCCCATGGTTGTCACAACAGGCGGCTAACAGGATCAGGTGGTCAGAGTCACTGACTTGGTTGATGCTTGTCATCGTATCCCCATTGAATAGATCAATGCTCATGATGTCAATCACTGGATTGTCTGGTCTAGACTTGATAATTTACATGCCGCTGTCATGTAGCTAGAACATTGCAGAGTGTGGCGTTAAACAACAAACGAACAGCCTTAACCACTATAACACACATATTCCTTTCAGAAAGCAGCACCAGTGCCTAAACCTGTTCCGACTGAGCCTAGGAAGGAGCCTAGGCCATTGTCGCTGAAGAAAGACAGGACTTCCAGAATCTCATCAACATCCTCCTCCGCTGCTAGGGAGTCCTCTCATCGAGCAATCAAAGTTGATAAATCACCAACAGTGCCAAAAACAATGTTCCCTGTGGCGATAAGTTATGTTTCCATTCACGGAGGGGATGACTTCGATATGACCTTTGACCCAAATAGGTCACCTGAGTTTTATATTAAGAAACGTGGTGGTCCAATAGAAAGTTCTGGGTTGAAATTGGAACGATCTCGAACTTCGTACATTGGACCTAAACACCCAAGCAAACATAAAGGATTATTAACTGACCTTGACCTCTCTGAAGAGCCCCTGGATGTTATAAATAGTGGTTCAAAAACTTCGGCTGTTGACCGCGGAGGAAAATCGTCACTGCCGAAGCCTTCTGTGCCAAGTCAGCAGTATTTGGACGGTGGGAGGTCAGTCACATTCTGTGCAGAGAATAATCGAGGGTCAAGGTCAATGCAAAGTCCACGTGGAGGTCATGAGGTATCACGGGAAGTGATAGATATGGACCAGTTGGATCAGGAAGTTCTGAAAGCGAAGAGGTAGGCTGTTAGGTTCTGTCTTGATTTGTGTGAATACTTTCTGGTATTGACTTTTTGAGGGTCCCAGAACTGCATGTTGTGTTTTTATATCGCCATGGTTACAGATGCATGTTGTTTTGTTGTGTTGTGTTGAGACCACTATTCACCTGTTTTCCCACCCTGTATATATTTAGCATGGATACCCACGCTTCTATCTTTCTTTTTAAAAAGATATCCGAAAGTTTAGATTTCAAGCTTTACACAACCAATGAGGCTATGACAGTTTAATTTGGCCGCATACATTTCTTACACCTCCTAGTGTCTGTCGCATTCCGGGTCAGAACAGGCCGCTAGTTCCCAATGCTTGTCATAAAAGTCGACTGTAAAGATGATTGGATGGTCACAATGGTGATTCGGGCGGTTGGGTAGCCTTGTGGTAAAAGCGTTTGTACTCATGCTGTAGACCTGGGTTTCGAATCCTGGCATGGGTTCAATGTGTGAAGCCCATTTCTGGTGTCCCCTCCCGTGATATTGCTGGAATATTGCTAAAAGCGGCGTAAAACCATACTCACTCACATGTTGAGTGTGTGACACCATGCCCCAACTGCATGTTGTTCTCGCTATCAAACACTGGTTTGAAGACTTGACTACGTGCACGCTGTTAGCTGGAATATTGCTGTGTTAAACAACATGCACTCTTTGACAAACATTTTTAGCCCTTTTACCTGTGTACTTAGATATGTTTAAAATTAATTACAGAAAACAAATCATAAATTTGTTGTGGCCTAATACACGTGTATCATGTGACTGGTACCAATGTGTGTTATGAGTGATGAAAACTCTCTGCACCCAGTTAAAATGCATGTTTTCAAGGCTATGTGGACATAATGTTGCAATGAGAAGTGAAAACTGGTTTATGTGTATTTGTGCTGATACTCTAGGGGGAGCTATTCACTGTCCAAATACCCTGTGCTGTAAGTACGTAGTTCAAGACGGCGGTTGCTGTATCTTGTAGCATTGTGTCCAGCTGTGACATCGTAGCTATGTACTGCTCCACTGTTACTGTTGGGTATGTACTGGTTGTTGATACATAGCTGCGACTCTTCCTATAGTTACGCGTGAGTCTGATGATGTTTTTACACCGGCCTTCACAAGATCCGTCAGAGTGCACATTAAAGAATATCATGAAAATCTTCCGTAACCATGATACAGAAAACGACATTTATAACGAACTCAAGGGGACCACTAATTTTAGTTCATTATAACCGTAGTTCGTTAAAGGTAAGGTGAGGTTTGGTATGACGCGGCCAGGCATCGAACACCGGACCTTCCGCTCTCCGGGCGGACGCTCTACCACAAGACCATGGAGGCGGTCCTAGTTAGTTAAAAGCATATTTACAGCATATATACACCAAATGCAAACGACCAAAAATCAGTTCGTTATATCTATCAGTTCGTTATAAACGTAGTGTACTGTAATCCTTTAGCTTGACCTGCACAAAATGATTGAAAATTCATCTTGTTAAAAGTTACTAACCAGAAAATTTAATTTCAAATTTTCTCATTGTCGCTTAATTTTAAACATAGTAACAGTGACTGATTTTCAATTAAAATGACACCATATGTCCAGACAAGAACTTTTTTAATATAAGGCTCTGTGCATTACATATATCTTAAGTCAATGTCAATATACCACGACACTGTTTCGATAAGGGGAGCTGGAATTGTAGTGATTACAGAGACCCATGACTGTTGCAGACACGTTTTCCAGTCGTACACCGCTGTAGCAGGATACATGGAAATATATTAATTCAAGTATTTTACATGTCAGGTACGATAGTCCTTCATGTTCACTCTGACATAGCTTGCATTGCATTGGCTGGTGCAAAACAGAATCGGACTCTATTAGCAATCTCATTAAAATCACCTCTTTCACTCCGATACAATACCTCTGCATGAAGACCTGGGCCCCGTTCCTCAAAGCAATCTTAGCGCTAAGATGATCGTAAACCTATGTTAAAGTATGGGACTTATGATCACCTTAGCGCTAAGATCGCTTTGAGGAACGGGGCCCTGAGGACTTCTCCAGACTTGGCCACCTCATCGTCGCGGGAACTTTCTAATTAGCCAATCAATGTCAAGGCTTCTTAATTCTCAATACAAGGAGCAAAGCATCCATACAAGCATGTCTGATTTCTATTTCTCAAAAACAAATATAATCGCATTGTTTTGTTGTGGATGTTTTGTGAATGTTCTTGTTTGCCATGTCATCTACACTCTTTAGGGTGTATCGTTGAGGAAATATTTGTTCTATGTAGGTTATGGTGTGTAAAGGTCTGATGCCTGAATTGAAGTGGCTACAAAATGAAGCAAAATGGTTTTAGAAAGCTGACAGCTGATTGGCTCAGGAACCAACACATCCTTCATTTTGCTATGAAGTATCATCAGATCTCGACCAGGGACGTATAGCATCGGAGTGAAGATCTGATTTCAGTGACATTAACTCTGTATCAGTAGTACTGTGGAAGGAGTCGTAGCTACATGTCAGCGACCAGTAGATGTCCGCTAGTAAAAGCGGACAGTGCATAGCTGAAACAACAGTTATATCTTTAGCCCATCTTTCAGTCCAAGATGAAGAGTGATTACCTCCGTAGCTGATAATCCATAGACACATCTGTTACATGGTCCATAATAACAGATAGTTTTCTTACATGTAGTGCTTTTTTCTCAATCTTGACACCTAAGTTAAATCAACAAAATATTTGCTTTTTTTTAAATCATGCTTGTAGTGAATCTTTGGGATGTAACAATCCCCTGAACGATCCATCGTAATCCATTGTGATCCATTGTGATTACTGTTCTTCATCGTCAGTCAGCTGGGGTCATGGCCTATAACATCTTCCCAAGGCAAGTGAGTTCACTGACTATAAAAGTCCAGTTTCCACCCTTGCCGAACCAGGCTGGTATTATGGAGTTACATTTTGGCTGGACTAACAAGTCTATGCATAGTCCAATCAAAATCGCGCAACGACAATGAAATCCGGTTAGTAAACTATTGTGCAGATTTTGGTCGATTGCATGATTTGAAAAGCATGTGCACTGCCAACTCGTTGTCAACAGATATTTTCCAAGTCTTTTCATGTTTTTTATCAAGGTGCTCACGTGATTTGATGCACTTCGCGGTGTAAGACCCGTTTTATCATAATACAGATCTTGATTATCGATCAGATCGCCTTGACTGGGTGCCACCATTTTGTCTGAAACAAATGTAAGTGAAACGAGAGGTGGAATCTGATTGGTCCATAGGAGAGGCTTAGAAGGGCTTAGAACTCGTAATACCCACTGGTGGCGCTACGATTGAGCCCAGGAATTCTAGCCTAGTTGGGCAAGGGTGGATACTGGACTTTTAAAGTCAGTTAACTCCCTTGCCTCGGGAAGATGGGCCTATAAATGTGGTAGGGGCTATGAAGTAAAAGATTAAAAGGAAAAATGAGAATAGAACTTATCCATTTCATATTCGCTTTGTGAAGATCCAGGGTGGAATAGGTCTTAAGCAACCCATGCTTGCCGTAAGAGGTGACTATGCTTGTCGTAAGAGGCGACTATCCAGGCGACTGGATCGGGTGGTCAAGCTCGCTGACTTGGTTGAAGCATGTCATCGATCCCAATTGCGTGGATCTAAGCACTTGACATCAATCACTGGATTGTCTGGTCCAGACTTGATTATTTACTGACCACCGCCATATAGGTGGAATATTGCTGGGTGCTGCATTAAACAACAAACAAACAAACAAACATTTCGTATTCAAACTCCTACAGAAGCAGCTCGACCCCTGTGTGAACCCTGGTTCAGAATACTGGGGTAGGTCACCATCCTGCCCTGCTTGTTGAGCTGGGTCGGTGGTCAGACTGAGTGACCAGGATGATTGCTTGTCAACGTACCCCGGTGGTGTTGATCGTTGTTCACGCTTTCAATCACTGGATTGCATTTTCCAGCCTCGATTATTAACAGGCCTCTGTGACATATACTGAGCAAAAAACGTCAGGCATCATGAAATATTTGGGAGATATTTTTTTGTAGTGATCACTGAGCACACAATTTCATAAAAAATCCCCCCAAATAATCATGATCCCTAACTATTTGGTTCAGTATAGTTATAATATTGCTGACAGCGGCAAAAACAACAAATAGCTAGATAGAAAAGATACCTAACTTCAACATGATATTCATTCAACATTTTGAAGATTCTTCTTTATGACAAGGGGCGGTCGGGTAGCCTTGTGGTTAAAGCATTCACTCATTGCGCTGAAGACCCGGGTTCGATTCCCGACATGGGTACAATGTGTAAAGCCCATTTCTGGTGTCCCCCGCCGTGATATTGTTGGAATATTGCTAAAAGCAGCATAAAACCATCCTCACTCACTCGGGGCGGTCGGGTAGCCAAGTGGTTAAAGCGTTCGCTTGTCACGCCGAAGACCCGGGTTCGATTCCCGACATGGGTACAATGTGTGAAGCCCATTTCTGGTGTCCCCCGCCGTGATATTGCTGGAATATTGCTAAAAGCGGCGTAAAACCATACTCACTCACTCACTCCTCACTCACTCTCTTTGTGACTTTGTCTTCAAGTAGTGTATGTTAGCTTATCACCTAACAGTACTCCTTTTGAGAATATATATATCGCATCCCGGTTCACTGTGATTATGTTTCTAGGCTTGTCAGCACCATACCCTTGCTCATGGCTTTTACCCACATGGTAAACATCTAACACCTGCATCACTTCAGGATTTCTTCCAAAATGAAGCTGGGGGGCACGGGTGGCCCAGTTGTCTAAGGCGCCGCGATTCGCTGTGCAGAGTTGCATCCCTTGGGCACGCCAGAAACCTATGATTGTGGGTTCAAATCCCGGTTCGCCCCGATTATGTTTCTAGGTTAGTCAGCACCATACCCGTGCTCGTGGGTTTCACCGAAGTGGTAAACGTCTGAGACCTGCATCACTTCGGGCTTTCCTCCCACATTAAGCTGACACGCCTAGATATAACTGGAATACTGTTAAATGTGGCGTTAAACCCAACTTACTCACTCACTCACTCCAAAATGAAGCTAACATGCCCTGATTATAACTGGAATACTGTTCACAGTGGCATTAAACCCAACTCTCTCACTCATCTTATAAAATTGCTTGAACATGAAAATGAATACTCTCAAGATTGTAATGATTGTTCATAATCACATGTGCAGTATAATGTATTCAGCTCCGTAAAATACAAAATTAAGTTCGGTATTTCATTAACTAGAACATGTCATGTTAGAAATAACAATATTTTAATTGATATATATTTATATTCAGTTTCATTGAAAAAAATAAATTCTGTAATTCATAAACCTGTAGATATCAACAAATTCAATTGATGTTATGATGTATCTGCCCATCACTATCGCACATGACCTTGACATTGCAGACCAGCAAGCCACCACTCTGCGTATAGTAGCGCAGGGTCGGTGCTGCCCTCTAGTGGCTATACAGTCGCACCATACTTTATAGAATCACACCACGAGTTCTTACAGAGGACTAACACCTTTGTTAGCTGTCACAGGTAACCATGGAAATGACCTATAGGCCTAGACACACGCTGTATGCACTAGATGCTTATTATATGCATATATAATTATTGTAGTCATATATATCGCCAACTAACTCACTAACTGATTAATTACCTTTTTAATTTGTTGTTGGGTAATGTCTTTTACAAGATGACTCTGTATTTGAAGGATCTTTATTCCTACTGACCCTGTCAAACTATGCACTGTCTTTGACTATAATGATATGCTATTTTCCCTAAAACTGTTGGTCAGTCAGTACAAAAATGTGCTATCTCCCTTTAACTGGTAATCGGGCAGTACAATGGTGTTCTATTTTCCTAAAACTGGTATTTGCCGTAAACAGGTGATCAGTCAGTACAATGATTTGCTATTTTCCCAAGCCTGGTGATCAGTCAGTAGAATGATATGCTATTTCCCTAAAACTGGTGATCAGTCAGTACAATGATGTGCTATTTCCCTAAAACTGGTGATCAGTCAGTACAATGATATGCTATTTCCCTAAAACTGGTGATCAGTCAGTACAATGATGCCCTTTTTCCCGTAAACTGGTGATCAGTCAGTACAATGATAAGCTATTTCCCTAAAACTGGTGATCAGTCAGTACAATGATAAGCTATTTCCCAAGACTGGTGATCAGTCAGTACAATGATAAGCTATTTCCCAAGACTGGTGATCAGTCAGTACAATGATATGCTATTTCCCTAAAACTGGTGATCAGTCAGTACAATGATGCCCTATTTTCCGTAAACTGGTGATCAGTCAGTACAGTGATATGCTATTTCCCATAAACTGGTGTTAAGTCAGTACAGTGATATGCTATTTCCCATAAACTGGTGTTAAGTCAGTAAAGTGATATGCTATTTCCCATAAACTGGTGTTAAGTCAGTACAGTGATATGCTATTTACCATAAACTGGTGATCAGTCATGCTGTGTTTTTGAGAGTGAATGTTTCAAATGAGACCAAATAATACTTGGGAGCGGAAATGTAGATACATGTATGTGCAGAAAGGGAATTCCACTGTGACATATTTTGGCCACATGGTACTTTAGGTCTTCCAGCCATATAGTATGACTCAATGACTATCTTTAAGCATTTAAACTGACATCCAACTTTTAAACTGCACCCTACGAATGCTGAGATGTGTCATACTATTTACCTGTATGTTGGATCATGTATTATGAGATTTGGGACTATCCTTATCATAAGCTGAGTAGTACATCGCCATGTACATTCCTGAAGTGGCTCTGGTCTTGCTATTAGGGCTGGGGGGGGCGGTCGGGTAGCCTAGTGGTTTAAGCGTTCGCTCGTCACGCCGAAGACCCGGGTTCGATTCCCGACATGGGTACAATGTGTGAAGCCCATTTCTAGTGTCCCCCGCCGTGATATTGCTGGAATATTGCGTAAAACCATACTCACTCACTCACTATTAGGGCTGGGACTGAAGACTACCCGCATCCTATACAACTAACTGTCCGGACCCATGGCCACATGATCTAACGACTGGGAAATAATGTACCAGCTGTCAAAACAGTGTGGATAAAACTTTCAACTCCGGATCCTTCACTCCTTTGGCTACTCCGTTGACTGTCGAATGGACCTGTGAAGATGCGGGGTAGAATAGGTCTTCAGCCACCCATGCTTGCCGTAAGAGGTGACTAACGGGATCAGAAGGTCAGACTTGCTGACTTGGTTGATGCATGTCATCGTATCCCAATTGTGTAGATCGATGCTCATTATATCAATTACTGGATTGTCTAGTCCAGACTTGATTATTCACAGACTGCCGTCATATGGCTGGAATACTGCTGCATGCGACGTTAAACAACAAACAAACTCCACCTCACAGACTCAATTCGGCATAGGGTGCATTTGTTTTTTTAGCCACATCTTGTTTAAGTCGAAATATGGCCATACCCTTATTTTGGGCCTTACAGTTGCCATGATTGATCTTTGCAAAGGGAAGTAACTGTAAGCCATGTAAGCTTTGTTCCTCGTACCTGGGTCTATAGGGTCTACCCATCCCAGCCCTACAGTCTATATACTACTTGTTCCTGCTGTGATTGGCTATGCTACACAGATACATGCTGGGTGATATACAACTGTTGGGATGTAACAGAGGTGATATGTGATTTGCCTTATTGAGGCCAAAAAGGCGTCCCTGACAACTTTGTGAGTAATCTTTATAAATGCCCCCGAGTAGCATAATTTACATAACAGTCTGTATTTTCATGTGTATATTACAGATTTTGTATAGAAAACAGAGAAGAAGGGTTATATGATTGCCTTGTGACTATTCAAAGAGTTTCAGTTTAAATTAATGTTTGAACTAAATCTTTGTTCACTGCTTTATACTGCTTGATCTGTGATAATTTGTCACTTTTCTAAGCACCTGGGGTGCGGATACTGTATATTCTGACACTGTTGTCCTATAATGCATATCACTTGACACAGATTGATTTGAGGTTAGCAAGTAAGGATACCAGAATATGGGTAAATTGAGGTAGGTTCTTTCCATGATACGTATCACAATATCCTGTTTTATTGCTCAGTATATCGGGTGATTTCAAATAGCTATTTCTGTTAAGAGTTTAATGTTATACACTTGCCAATACCTTTGCAACGTTTCCATGATTCCAAAATGCAAGTTCGTATTCTGGAGTTCTTCTGTGGCAGTGGTGTAACACCAAGTCATCACTGTCCCGGAACGTGCATCCATGCATATTTATTGAAATATAACATTATGCTGTTCCAGCATCTTGTTTTGTTCCATTTATGAACTTCAATTCCTACAATGATGTTTCAAATTGCTTCTGAATTCAAAATTTTGAATGATACAATATATTGTGATACGTATCGCAATACGGCCTTGTGCATTGTAAAATATTGTGATATACTTTAAACATCCAATACCCATCCCTATTAGCAAGACTTCAGGGAAAGTGCAAGTTTGGGAGCATTTCGTTCCAGGTTCTATTGATCCTGATAATCCCTTGTAGATGAGTCTATGATACTGCTGACTGTGTATCATGGTACAGTATTGTATCTCTGTATCATCCCTACTGTCTCTGCTGCTTCTGGTTTGCCTGATAGTTAGACAGCTTCTCTCACTCGTGTGGTGATGCGCTACTCTCGGCTGGGTCTTCTTCATCATCTTGTCTTTCAGCATATTTCCTGTATGTACCTTTACGCACCCTCATGTACCTCTTTGTACCTTTACGTACCATGATTAAAGAGCATTTTACGTCACTTTCATATGTTTATATTTTTAAAAATAGATTGTTTTAATTCTGTTATCGATAAATATATTTTTCTGTCAATATTTTAATCACTAATGTTTATGTAGGTAACTAGTCCATTAGTCACTGCATGTTTTGTTTTTTGTTAAATGGTGTACCCTAAAGGTCAAAGGTCAAAGTGACAGGTGATGAGATATTCCTCTAGTAATTGTCTATGTGATTTTTCATTCATTGATTAAGATATTATTTTGTTTAAATATTTTGCTCAGTTCATATTCTGTATTTTTCTAAGTTCATTGAGTGCAAATAGTTTATCATTTTAGTTTATGTAATAATTCTTTGAGTGTTGTTTATGTTTTTTTATTGAAAGATGGTTAACGTCTATAAATTTATTACCTAATTTCTTATCCAGGCCAGGTTTGAAGAAAACGTTAGATCGCCTTCCAAACAAAATGAGTTTTCCAATCAATGTTGCCATGGCCGCGGGACCTGTGACATTTTCCCCGGAGATTCCTGAGAACAAGGTGGCGAAATCTCACAACAAGTTTGTCCCTATGCAGCTGAGGACGCAGCCAGGGAACCTGCCCCCCGCTCAACTTCAGCGAGTCAGCACCGCGCTGGCCGAACCTAGAGGTACCCTTCGTGTGTAGTGAGTGAGTGAGTGAGTGAGTGAGTGTGTGACCGAGTGGGTGGGTGGGTGGGTGGGCGGGCGGGCAGGCGAGCCAGTGAGGTTAAACGCCACTTTAAACAAGGAAACCCTAATTGAAGCAGGTGTCAGACTGTTACCACTTACCCACGGTCATTGGTTTGTAGCATGCCCAAGGGACACAACTCAGGTGCACCACAATTTGTCTTGCCTAAGAAGACTGGGTCACCCATGCCTCCACACCATTATGAACAGTAATTCAGTTACATGTCAGGTGTGTCAGGTTTGGTTGGTTTGTTGTTTCACACTGCACTCAGCAATATTCCAGCTATATGACGGCGGCCTGTAAATAATCGAGTCTGGACCAGACAATCCAGTGATTGATATCCATTTGGTATCGATGACATGCATCAACCAAGTCAGCGAGCCTGACCACCCGATCCCGTTAGTCCTATGACAAGCCTCCTACATACAATCCCGTGATTGATGTCATGTGCACAGATCCATGCAATCCGGAAACAATGACAAACATCAACCAAGTCAGCGAACTTGACCACCTGATCCTGTTAGTTCCCTCTTACAACAAGCATAGTCGCCTTTTATAGCAAGCATGGGTTGCTGAAGACCTATTCTATCCCAGATCTACACGGTCTATGCTTGTCGTAAGAGGCGACTAACAGGATCAGGTGGTCAGGCTCGTTGACTTGGTTGAAGCATGTCATCTCTATTGCATGGATCGATGCTCATGATGTCAATCACTGGATTGTCTGGTCCAGACTTGATTATTTACAGACCGCCGTCATATAGCTGGAATATTGCTGAGTTTACCGTTAAACAACGTACAAACAAACATGACCAAGTGATCGTCTGCAGGTACCAGGGTCATCATATTGATGTGAGGTGGGTGTTTGGAAGTGAGGTGGACGGGGATGAAATCTGATAATTTATTGTGGCCAAGAGAAGCTGTGTCCCAATAGTGTGAAACCCATGAAGATTCCGGGGTAGAATAGGTCTTCAGCAACCCATGCTTGCCGTAAAAGGTGACTAAGTTTGTGTAAAAGGCGACTAATGAGATCAGGTGGTCAGGCTCGCTGACTTGGTTGATATATGTCATCCTATCCGGATTGCGTGGATCGATGCTCATGCTGTTAATCACTGGATTGTCTGGTCCAGACTCGATTATTTACAGACCACTGTCATATAGCTGGAATATTGCTGAGTGTGGCATTAAACAACAAACAAACAAACAAAAAGGAACAGGGAAATACAATTGAAATGGTAAATCCAACTGACCAGTGATATTCTGTGGATTTACACACTGGGCGCACTGGTTTGTATGTTTATACCTTAATTAACGCAATACGTCAGTTCTTGTAAATAACTAAAGTCAACAATAATTAGACTCCACAATAACACAAATACTGTAGACAATAATACAGACTCTGCTGTGAATCCTATAAGCAGTGTTCGAAATACCTGCCTGCCCAACTGTCCGAGACGGGTTGATTTCAACTCGGGCTGCCAGATTTTCAAATCCCCCTGCCCGACGGTCGGGTTATATTTCATATGTGACAATATTCTAAATATTTCCCGATGATAATCATTAATTCACATGTAAAGATGAATGATAAAATGTAACCAAAAAGAAACCCCGTTAGCTTATCCTGAGAAACATATGATTATAGTGGGCAGGCAGGTTTTGGTCAGGGCTGGCAAGTATTTCAGCTAGCCAGTCCTGTGGTCTGGCTGAAATTTTTGGGAGTTTCATACCCTGCTATAAGGTAGTAAGCCTGTGGTTTGGCTTTGATCAGATATTGGATTGTTTCAGTGAGCGGAGGATTTCCTACCCGCCGCCTGGAATCCCTCCCCCGTAGCCACACCCAAGTTGTCACGGAAACCAAGGGTCCTTCTATGTCTGTGAAGAGAGGAAAGAATCATGGGATAGGCGGTGCCAGTGAGATGGACACTGCTGGAGTGAGCGGCCATCACTCCAACAGCAAAGAAAAGTAAGTTCGGTTGAGATCAATTTCATTGATGAGGTTTACTTCCGACGTCAGCATTGGCATTGGCAAACACCTTCTCCCCAGAAACCCCAGACCAATAAAGCTGAAACTTTCGGCCAGTTCCCACAAACGATGACAACTAAATTTGTTTCAAAACACAGTCCAAATCCAATTTTTTTTAAATATTTGGATACTACATGGCCTGTTGTTATAAAAATGTTATCAAATTTAGTTTTTCTGTACAATGTACATTTCAAGCCTACTTTTGCTAAATATGGCAGGACTATCGCACATATTGATTGTCCAATCAGAGAACCTTTACAAAATGAACATCCAGGTTCCGAAAACATATCAATGCTGACACTAACTTTTATTGGCCATCTTTGTCGACATTGTTGGCTGCATATCCAGGTGAGCTACAGTGCTGTGCACCATTATCTATATTTACTTGGCAGGAAATGTCTGCACAGTGAAATATGCATAGACATTATCTACTTGTTTTAGCCGAGAGCACACTCATGACCTTTTATTTGGGAAGAGATACATTGATAAGGGGCACATAATTTGTCTTTGTTTGAAAAAAACCCTGAAAATGTTTTCTCATATACCAGGGGAACAATAATTTATGAGTAAGTGAGTTGATATTTAACATCACATCTGCAATATTTCATCCATATAGTAACTTGATAATAATAGATGGGCACTTATTTGAAAAATTAAAACTTAACAATTTGTTTATTCTATTCTAAGGGCCTAGGGGGTGTTAGCCATCTAAGTCACCACTACGTATTTGCTAGGCAGTATTAAGTCCCTTAGCCATGCCAGGATCCGATGAAGAAGTGTTTGAATCCCAGATTTGCCTTGATTATGATATTTAGGTTGTCAGCACAGTGACCATGCATAACATGGTATCTAAGACCTGTGCCTGTGGGTTTCACAAAAGTAGCATAGTATCCAAGACCTGTGCCTGTGGGTTTCACAAAAGTAGCATAGTATCCAAGACCTGTGCCTGTGGGTTTCACAAAGTAGCATAGTATCCAGACCTGTGCCTGTCGGTTTCACAAAAGTAGCAAAGTATCCAAGACCTGTGCCTGTGGGTTTCACAAAAGTAGCAAAGTATCCAAGACCTGTGTCAGTGGGTTTCACAAAAGTAGCATAGTATCCAAGACCTGTGTCAGTGGGTTTCACAAAAGTAGCAAAGTATCCAAGACCTGTGCCTGTGGGTTTCACAAAGTAGCATAGTATCCAGACCTGTGCCTGTCGGTTTCACAAAAGTAGCAAAGTATCCAAGACCTGTGCCTGTGGGTTTCACAAAAGTAGCAAAGTATCCAAGACCTGTGTCAGTGGGTTTCACAAAAGTAGCATAGTATCCAAGACCTGTGTCAGTGGGTTTCACAAAAGTAGCAAAGTATCCAAGACCTGTGCCTGTGGGTTTCACAAAAGTAGCATAGTATCCAAGACCTGTGTCAGTGGGTTTCACAAAAGTAGCAAAGTATCCAAGACCTGTGTCAGTGGGTTTCACAAAAGTAGCAAAGTATCCAAGACCTGTGTCAGTGGGTTTCACAAAAGTAGCAAAGTATCCAAGACCTGTGTCAGTGGGTTTCACAAAAGTAGCAAAGTATCCAAGACCTGTGTCAGTGGGTTTCACAAAAGTAGCAAAGTATCCAAGACCTGTGTCAGTGGGTTTCACAAAAGTAGCAAAGTATCCAAGACCTGTGTCAGTGGGTTTCACAAAAGTAGCAAAGTATCCAAGACCTGTGTCAGTGGGTTTCACAAAAGTAGCAAAGTATCCAAGACCTGTGCCTGTGGGTTTCACAAAAGTAGCAAAGTATCCAAGACCTGTGTCAGTGGGGTTTGTATAGTATCTATGATGTGAGCCAGTTAAAGCTTACACATAAAGCTAGCACACTCCGATACAGGTGAAATAGAAACACAGATGGTGCACTTCTTGAAGGAACCACAGTTCAATGTGCAGAGATGTGTCCCTAAGTTGTGCCAGATAGCTACTGTCCTGGGTTCGAATCCCAGAGTCACACTGATAATGCTGGTAGTTTCATAGTCAACACTATAACCATACTTGTGACTTTCACAAAAATAGAACCCGTGACGATCCGGGGTAGAATAGGTCTTCAGCAACCCATGCTTGCTGTAAAAGGCGACTATGCTTGTCGTAAAAGGCGACTAATGGGATCGGGTGGTCAGGCTCGCTGACTTGGTTGATGCACGTCATCAATCCCAATTGCGTGGACGCCGCGATATGACTGGAATACTGTTAAAGGCGGCGTTAAACCCAACTCACTCACACTCACCAATTGTGTGGATTGATGCTCATGATGTCAATCACTGGATTATCTAGTCCAGACTTCATTATTTTACAGCCTGCTGTCTTATAGCTGGAATATTGTGCGCCGTTAAACAACAAACAAAAATCCAAACAAAGCAATGATGGCAAATATATCCAGGGTGCTAATCAAAATAAAATGGAGATATAATACCATGGATAGTAGAGGATGTCACATGAACTATATTTCAGAGTATCCAGATCAAAGGGCTCCTCCCACCGCCGACTCAACCAATCAGGACACATCCGTGAGCCCGACTCCGTCTTACTCAGCCAATCATGGACGTTCAAGCCTCAGGAAGAGGCTCTGCAAGGAGCCAGATAGCATCTGATTGACTCATGTAAATACTAATGTTATATATCATTGAATGAGGTTGGGTCATCGGTGTGAAAATGATCAAGTCATAGTACACCTGCATTAACACTTTCAATGCTGGTTTTCGTTACGATTGTTAAGTTTGGTTCTGTATTATGGCTCTGTATAGAATTGGTCCCCAGTACACCATAGTTTGTACCCTGTCTTGTTGAAGGTGCAAAATCATAGGGTTTTTATATAATTAATCAGAACATCAACTTTTTTTGTGGCATCAATGATTTCAGTGATCCATTCGTATAATTATATCACTGTTTTCTTTTTGCTCCCAATGGAGTCTGTATTGGTGTATAATCAAGACTGATTATTCTCTGGCATGGGATTTTGAATTTACACTGCTCTGCACAAAGCTGTGTTGGAAAAGGGCATTCCCTGTACATGTATCAGCTATAAATAGAATTTAAACAGATACACATCATGAAATTATTATGAAAAAAGCTATTTCATATGAAGAGTGATTAAAGTGTTAACTGTCATACCAAAGCCCTGGGTTCGATTCTCCACATGGTTACACTGGTATATGACCTCAATGTGCTGGAATATTGATAAATGCAACGTAAAACCATATTCACTCACTCATATGAGAAGTCCACATTTGTAGGAAACAAGGAAGTGATCTGTGGAACTTTGGGCATTAATTTCAGACACCACAGAGAACTATTGCTAGTTACTGAAAGTCTGACAGTAGTGTTAAATCCTGTTCACTCACTGAGTTTAGTGTCATTATTAGACTAACATCTTGTCTCTGAAATGAAAATGTTTTACAGAAAACACAGTTGTTAAGTTATTTCAATGAAATAGAATAAAAAAGAGCCCAGAGACTCTTCATTTTCAGTCAGAAACATCAGTAATCTAGACTTGCCAACTAGGATAAATTGCATGGGATGATTAGATATATTTGTCAGATGTTGCCATTGTTTGCAATACAATCCCCACGTTAAGGCTTGAATGTGTTCAACTACCTCATGAAGGAGTTCAGTCTGCAGATAAGTCAGTATTCTTTTTTTTTCACCAAAATAGTATTTATATGCTTTAGAGTTCAATGTAGGAGTAAAACACACATTTACTTGGAACCCATTTTCATTACTGGGAACGTGTGTTCCAATAGTTTTAAAATTTAGGGACGAAATATAATTGAAGAAGCATATATCTTCTGATATGAACAATCCAGGAATTGCCCTGTTGAAATTAACCACACAAGGAATGTCGTAAAACAGTCTTAAACATGCCTTCATGGCTTTTTGTGTAGGATGTCCCATTGTATAACCTGTTGCCTGTGTAACGCTGGGTGTAAAAAGTGTGTGGACCAAGTGGGTACCCTTGACTTCCTGAGTCATTAATGCCTCAGTCACATTTGCCGCCGCGGCCGTGGGGTTTAAAATATCTACGTCCAATAGCAATTACAGGGCCGCCGCAGCGTTCCTACAGTCACATACTGTAGCAGTCACATATGTTAGGGTAGCCGCACGGCGTATTTTGAATTTGTGGAGACAGAAAACCTGCGGCTGCGTACGGCCTATGAAGTGATGACACACAGTCGTCTGAGGGCATCCCTGCGGTGGCCATAATTTTTTTGACAAATACAAAGGCAAATGCGAGGTAGGTGCAAGGCGCCCACAAGGCGCCCGCAGGGGGACCATACGGCGACCGTGCTGCCAGACTGAGGCTTAGTAACCGCAACACGGGGCAGCTGCAAGCAAATGCAAGGTCACCGTACGCCCAACGTATGGTCACGGTGGAACCGCTCTACGGCATGGCTACAGCGTGTCTAAGTGTCTAATTGCTACGGCAAACCTAAAAAATAAAAAAGTATACACTATAATCCCATGGCGACCCCTACGGCCTGTAAAAGGTGACCCTAGGGTGACCCTGAGGCCACCACAGGTATCTCTCAATTTCGGGGGGCTACAGCCACCATATCCTAGCCGTAGAGCAAATGTGACTGAGGCATAACATACATAACTGGGCTGACTGTCTGTGAGTGGTTATCATGGATTGTTCATTTGTGGGAATATTTTTATACATAACTGTTGTTTAAAATTGATTGGTTAATTTCATCAGAATATCTGTGTGTTATTCTGAATGGACTTTGATATTGTTTAACTTCTTTGTGGAAGATTTGGTTCATGAATTAGAAACATTGATATCCTGTAATCCTTGAAAGACACCTGTCCTACACCAGTCTTTATAACACTTTAAGTGTTAGCATAAATAATGCATACTTTGTGCAATGCAGATGTTGAATGGTGTATACTTTGAGTAATGCAGATTTTGAACACTGTATACTTTGTGCAATGCAGATGTTGAACAATGTATACTTTGAGTAATGCAGATGTTGAACAATGTATACTTTGAGTAATGCAGATGTTGAACAGTGTATACTTTGTGCAATGCAGATGTTGAACAATGTATACTTTGAGTAATGCAGATGTTGAACATTGTATACTTTGTGCAATGCAGATGTTGAACAATGTATACTTTGAGTAATGCAGATGTTGAACAGTGTATACTTTGAGTAATGCAGATGTTGAACAGTGTATACTTTGTGCAATGCAGATGTTGAACAATGTATGCTTTGAGTAATGCAGATGTTGAACAGTGTATACTTTGAGTAATGCAGATGTTGAACAGTGTATACATCGTGCAATGCAGATGATGAACAATGTATACTTTGAGAAATGCAGTTGAACAGTGTCTACTTTGAGTAATGCAGATGTTGAACAGTGTATACTTTTTACAATGTATACTTTGAGTAATGCATATGTTGAACAATGTATACTTTGAGTAATGCAGATGTTGAACAATGTATACTTTGTGCAATGCAGATGTTGAACAATGTATACTTTGAGTAATGCAGTTGTTGAACAGTGTCTACTTTGAGTAATGCAGATGTTGAACAGTGTATACTTTGTGCAATGCAGATGTTGAACAGTGTATACTTGTAGTAATGCAGATGTTGAACAATGTATACTTTGAGTAATGCAGATGTTGAACAGTGTATACTTTGTACAATGTATACTTTGAGTAATGCATATGTTGAACAATGTATACTTTGAGTAATGCAGATGTTGAACAATGTATACTTTGAGTAATGCAGATGTTGAACAATGTATCCTTTGAGTAATGCAGACATTGAATAATGCATACTTGGAATATTTCATACTTTAAATAATGTATTCTTTGAATATTTCATCCTTCAAATGCATACTTTGAATAGTGAATACTTTGAATAATACAAGCTTTCAACAATTCAAACTTCCAGTCATGCATACGTTTGAATAACTGATACATTGAGGATGCATACTTTGACAAATGCATGCTTCATGTGATGCAGGACACTAGCTGTAGCAAATACTTCCTGTTATTTGCCCCCGGCTGTTTAATTAGAACAATGCACAGGTGTTTAACGAGAACAGTGCGCAGGTGTTTAATTAGAACAATGGACAGGTGTTTAATTAGAACAATGGACAGGTGTTTCATGTACGAGTTTATATAAGAAAGCAAGGGTTTGTTTATAATCTGGTATTGTACAATATAATATACTCAGCAGAACATTTCCTTCAGCTGAAGTATTTCTGTGGGAACATGTCTGGTTGGTCCTGAATTATCGTGTGGATATTGAAGTCATTACAATTGCCATTGTCGTCTCCCTTGTATCACGCCTGGCCAACTATAACCCCTGTATTCTGTTGTTGTGTTACAACAACTGTCAGCCCTGAAATTAGGCTGGAATGCCTCTTATAGTCAAATTATAGAACTATAAGGCAGCTCTTAATTAATTAGAACTTCTACCATGACATTTTAGCTTCCTGCTCCTGATTGGCCCTCAGCAGTACCAAGTTTATGTTAGACCATGACTTCTGTGTTGTTGTTGATGACTTGCGAAAGAAAATATTTATTTAATAGCATTACTTTCACAAACCCAATGGAAGGCAATTTCAAATTCAAATACTGTATTGTGGATCACAATATCATAAGCAAGTGTGGCAAAACATTTTGATCTCCTTGTTGTCCAAAGTAGAAATGAGTGGTTGACTGTCCCTTCTTAACACTACATACCCTAGACATGTCGACACACAGATATTATTAACATTTTGGCATTCATAGGTATTTGACTTCAAAACAGCATTTGGTATCCATTGCATGTATGAAGTCAGTGGATATAGTTCCTAGTTATCAGCCTTTCTCAGTCTTGTATATTTAATGTTTGTATTCACAAACTGCACAATAGTCTGTCTGTGCAGATTTGTCTCTTACTTGAATCAAAAACAACTTTGTCTGTGAACGCATTTGAATCAGCATTTTACAAATATTTCTAACTTTTTTAAAGCATTTTTCTTTTTCTATATTGAAGTCATAAAGACCCATCCATGTTGCAGATCAGTCATTTTATGCATTGTAACAATTGTGTCCGTTTTATTACCTTGTTTTATTACTTTGTTTTATGGCTTTTTTTCCCGCAGTGTTTTGTTACAATTCCCAAAACACTTTTTTATGATATTCATGGCTTCAAATATTATTAACATGTCACCGTTAATAATAAGGCAAAAATAATTGTTTCCAGATTGGATAAGAATCCCTTTGTTTGCTTATGTCTTATGTTCTACAACCAATGTCGTGAGTTGTCATGGCTGCCTCAGGTTACAGTTTATGTGAATTTTTTTTAATTTAATTTTTATTGTGACTCCTTGTGTTGGAGTCTGATCTATGAGGTCACTCTGTTTGTCTCTAGTCCAGGATTGAAACTCGAAACAAACAGCCATCTTAGTGCTAAGACTGCAGTGATACCATGTTATGTGACTTATGATAACACTATCTTAGTATGTGTATTTGTGAGTGAGTGAGTGAGTATGATTTTACGCCGTTTTTGGCAATATTCCAGCAATATCACGGCGGGGGACACCAGAAATGGGCTTCACACATTGTACCCATGTTGGGAATCGAACCCGGGTCTTCGACTTGACGAGCGAACACTTTAACCACTAGGCTACCCGACCGCCCCATAAGTGTATGTAGTCTGAATTATCAATTGTGTATGTTAAGTCACAGGAGTCATTGATGTTATGTCTTCGTAAAAGCATTTGAAGAATATTTCTTTCAATAAGAAATTTACTTATGATTGAAGTCCTTGCTAAGTCCTTACTTATGATATTCGATAGTCTGTGTTGAGGTATATGATCTTAATTACTATAAAGATACATGCTTGTCGTAAGAGGCGACTAACGGGATCAGGTGGTCAGGCTCGCTGACTTGGTTATGCATGTTATTGTATTCCAATTGCGTGGATCGATGCTCATGATGTCAATAACTGGATTGTCTAGTCCAGACTCGATTATTTACAGACTGCCATCATAAAGCTGGAATATTGCTGAGTGCAGCATTAATCAACAAACAAACAAACAAAAACAAACATGCATAGTAAAGTAAATGAGTCTTAATCATCATACATTTAGGGTTAAATATGAACACGAATATATATATATATAGGTCTTTGAAAGGCATTTAGACGTGATACACATTTATTTATGGATGTCAATATGAATATATATATGTTTCTGTTTTATGTTGCAAAAACTATTTGTCATGTGTTTGAGCAATTCACAAACTGATATGAACTAAATCAATGCTTTTGTATGCATAATATTTCCATTTGTATATGGCATCATATCTCCAACATTCACATCACTGAAGCAATTTAAAGGCATTTTGTTTTCTTTGTTTTATTTCATTGTTCATTATGTTGTTGCCTTTTATGCATTTGCTGAACTTTGAAAAATATATATGTATATGTGATCATATGTGATAAGATATAGTCATTGTAAAATATTTTTTTACTTTTGAAATCGTAACTATTTTATGCAGGAAAAGATAAAATGGTTGCCATGTTTTCATTGTTTGCTTTTAAAGAATTATTTGTTCCAATGGAAAAGGAAACAGTGTTATGTAGAAAACCATAAACAGATTTATCACCCTAAACTGGCTCCCACAGGAGATATTGCTTGGGTGAGATCAATGGATATCTACATTGTTGATATCGCTGCATTGAAATTGCATCACAATGCTTTGCAGACTATTGTGATGTCATTGGTTACCATGACATCACAATCAAATGACATCACTGATGGCTCTGCTACTGAAGCTGTTATCAGTACTTTTCACGCTTAAGACACTGCTTATTACTGTGTACAAACTGAAAAAGTTGGAAGAATGATGTTGGATGATAAATAAAATCTCACCTTCGTGTCTTTTGATATCAAATATATTAACACCCTAAAATAATGAATTAAAGTTTTAAAATTATAAAGCTGTTTTAAAGGAAAAATTGTCAGATAAAAAAGTTTAAGATTAAGAAGGAATAGAATGGATGGTGGATTTCATGGCTAGTGATTTCATTGATTAGCGGATTGTTTATCATGGCTGTTATAAATTAATCAAGTAAATGCTCTAGTGGTAGTGCTACCACCATTAAAGTCTGCCTACTTTGAGCAGTATTAAACATTCATTCCTTGTGTCATGTTCCACCTGTACATTGTGTTAGTGTCTCACTGTTGTCATGGCAACAGATCTGAAGGCGGCAATGGTTTCTGGCACAAAGTGTGTCAGTGATATGATGGTTGTTAATTGGATTTGTACTTTATTGAAAGAGATGCTATAATTAGTTCTATCATTGTGAAAATTAATTAACCGCATGGGAAGGCAACCTTTGGAATGATTTCACTTTTGTTTTATGCATTTTTCTCTCTCTATATTTTTTGTTATGTAAAATTGTTTGGGTTTGATAATTTAGGTGGGAAAAATCATTATTCTGTTAGGGGGAACGGGTGGCCCAGTCGTCTAAGGCGCGTCGATTTGCTGTGCAGAGTTGTGTCCCCTGGACACGCCAGAAACCTATGATTGTGGGTTCGAATCCTGGTTCGCTCCGATTATGTTTCTAGGTTTGTCAGCATCATACCCGTGCTCGTGGGTTTCACCGAAGTAAACGTCTGAGACCTGCATCACTTCGCTACTTTCAACCTCCATGTATCAATGCAATGCCTTTTGTCTCAGTAAACTATTGACCTACATTCCCAATATGCTTAAACAGGGGTTTTCCAATGTGTCACTGAAACATGGCGTCAAACTTGGCTGAAAGTCATTTGGCACTATTTGATAAGTCTGTCCAGTGTTGCCTTACACCCAGTAAATGAAATTGAATCCCTTGATAAGACTGTCCAGTGTTGCCTTACACCCAGTAAATGATAGTGAATCCCTTGATAAGTCTGTCCAGTGTTGCCTTACACCCAGTAAATGATAGTGAATCCCTTGATAAGTCTGTCCAGTGTTGCCTTACACCCAGTAAATGATAGTGAATCCCTTGATAAGTCTGTCCAGTGTCGCCTTACACCCTGTAAATGATAGTGAATCCCTTGATAAGTCTGTCCAGTGTTGCCTTACACCCAGTAAATGATAGTGAATCCCTTCATAAGTCTGTCCAGTGTTGCCTTACACCCAGTAAATGATAGTGAATCCCTTGATAAGTCTGTCCAGTGTCGCCTTACACCCTGTAAATGATAGTGAATCCCTTGATAAGTCTGTCCAGTGTTGCCTTACACCCAGTAAATGATAGTGAATCCCTTGATAAGTCTGTCCAGTGCTGCCTTACACCCAGTAAATGATAGTGAATCCCTTGATAAGTCTGTCCAGTGTTGCCTTACACCCAGTAAATGACAGTGAATCCCTTGATACGTCTGTCCAGTGTTGCCTTACACCCAGTAAATGATAGTGAATCCCTTGATAAGTCTGTCCAGTGTTGCCTTACACCCAGTAAATGATAGTGAATCCCTTGATAAGTCTGTCCAGTGTTGCCTTACACCCAGTAAATGATAGTGAATCCCTTGATAGGTCTGTCCAGTGTTGCCTTACACCCAGTAAATGATAGTGAATCCCTTGATAAGTCTGTCCAGTGTTGCCTTACACCCAGTAAATGATAGTGAATCCCTTGATAAGTCTGTCCAGTGTTGCCTTACACCCAGTAAATGATAGTGAATCCCTTAATAAGTCTGTCCAGTGTTGCCTTACACCCAGTAAATGATAGTGAATCCCTTGATAAGTCTGTCCAGTGTTGCCTTACACCCAGTAAATGATAGTGAATCCCTTGATAAGTCTGTCCAGTGTAGCCTTACACCCAGTTAAAGATAGTGAATCCCTTGATACGTCTGTCAAGCGTTGCCTTACACCCAGTAAATGATAGTGAATCCCTTGATAAGTCTGTCCAGTGTTGCCTTACACCCACTTAAAGATAGTGAATCCCTTGATACGTCTGTCCAGTGTTGCCTTACACCCAGTAAATGATAGTGAATCCCTTGATAAGTCTGTCCAGTGCTGCCACCCATTAAAGGATAGGGAATAGTCTGTCCACAATGTTCTCATCATCTGCTCAATAGATCCAATATGAATCCTGTAGACATAGTTAAAATGTGTATACCGAGTTACAGATTTTAGAGTTTGTTTCCCCTTACATGTTATTCTTTTTAAATAGATCATGTTTCAGTTAATCTGTGACAAGCATGTTATCAGTATTGAGTTACCTCCCCTTTCAAGTCAGCCAAATTTAATACAGATTTATAATATATGTGAAATATTTAAGTGAATCTGTGATAAGCATGTTATCAGCATTGAGTTACCTCCCCTTTCAAGTCAGCCAACTTTAATGCAGATTAGATGTCATTTTTTTGTGAATTTATGATGAGCATTTTTATCAGCATTGAGTTACCTCCCCTTTCAAGTCAGCCAAATTTAGTACAGATTAGAAATGAAATATTTTAGTGAATCTGTGATGAGCATTTTTATCAGCATTGAGTTACCTCCCCTTTCAAGTCAGCCAAATTTAGTACAGATAAGAAATGAAATATTTTAGTGAATCTGTGATAAGCATTTTTATCAGCATTTAGTTACCTCCCCTTTCAAGTCAGCCAAATTTAATACAGATTTATAATAGATGTGAAATATTTTAGTGAATCTGTGATGAGCATGTTATCAGCGTTGAGTTACCTCCCTTTCAAGTCAGCCAAATTGAGGCCCTACATACAAGAAGGCATCGGAAATTCCAGTACAGAAGGGGCCACTACTTGGACCATATTAACTGGATGCAATCACCAGACCATTGCCAGGCCTCCTTCACAGTCGTACTTGTGCTATAGATGTGTGTTGTAGACTTTCAAAAAGTTTGATTTATTGTGAAATGACTTGTTTCCAGCTTGTATGACTGTTGAGGCATCCACTCAAGTGGTAGATTTCAAGCACCAGTGTGCCTCGTGACTTACCAGAGCCGCGTTCCACAAAACGATTGTAGAGCTATGACTGTCATAAGTCTATGTTAAGGTATGGGAGTTATGATTACCTTAGCGCTACGACTGTCGTAAGTCTATGTTAAAGTATGGGAGTTACAATCACCTTAGAGCTACAACTGTCGTAAGTCTATGTTAAGGTATTGGGAGTTACGATCACCTTAGCACTACGACTGTCGTAAGTCTATGTTAAAGTATGGGAGTTATGATCACCTTAGCTCTACGACTGTCGTAAGTCTATGTTAAAGTATGGGAGTTACAATCACCTTAAAGCTACGACTGTCGTAAGTCTATGTTAAAGTATTGGGAGTTACGATCACCTTAGCGCTACGACTGTCGTAAATCTATGTTAAGGTATGGGAGTTATGATCACCTTAGCGCTACGACTGTCGTAAGTCTATGTTAAAGTATGGGAGTTACAATCACCTTAGAGCTACGACTGTCGTAAGTCTATGGTAAAGTATGGGAGTTACGATCACCTAAGCGCTACAATCGCTTTGTAGAACGGGGCCTTGAACACCACAACATCTCATATAAGAAAGTTTATAGACAAGATCATATTCAGAATACTATAAGAATATTATTGTTGCATTGTATCGAGTTCACATAGGGTCACAAGTTGGTGAGGAAATATTGACGTGTGAATGTCATTTGTATGCTATGCTGTGTCTGTCATGTGGTCTGTGATAAGTATCTCTGAACCTGGTTCTGGACATGCGCCTGTAGCTTTAGCCCCGCAAGTGTCTTGGTGAGGTTTCCTATCAGTATTTGTATCAGATGTTGTATGATCTACAGCGTCCCCGTTTACCGGTAATTACCAGTTTTTTACCGGTACAATTAGGCTTTGACCGGTAATTCATGTGACTGCCAGTCCCTGTGGACAGGCAAATAAAGTACCTTATAAATCTTTGTTGTTGAACAAAACATTGGTGATATTCATATAAGTACATGTTTCGAACAAAGTCAGCTTGTCTGTTACCATCAGGGTTTCCCCTGGTCTATTTCTAGGTTAAATAACCATTTGTAGCGACTTTGTCTCAAAATATTTTTAAAAAAAGGGAAAGAATATTGTGACTGAAGTTTGTGTGAATGACATAACTAAGTTACTTCACAGATGACATCTTTGCACTGAACATGATGTTGAAAGAATTAAAACTAAATAATTTTCATACATTTTTCTATTTGTCGAAAGTTGGGACTGGTAAAAGTTAGGGGGGACTGGTAATTTTTAGAGTTGCCTGTCCACAAGGATTGGCAGTTTCAAAAGCCAGCGGGAACACTGATCATCTAGCGCCTCTGTGTTGTGTAGCCTCACCTTCAGTGCCAGTCTCACATTCCGTGTACATCATCCGTCCATCTCTACAACCATGTATGTATATATCCACAAGGTTTACAATAAAACGTAATTTTCTTACACTGTGTTGTGTTTTAATTAATTTCAGTGAGTTGGTTATAAGGTATCGGTTTGTCTGCCAGGAGAGCGGAAAGTCTGCCTGGAGAACGGTTTGATCCCTGGTCACGTCATACTAAATATGTCCAAAGATGGTACTTGTTACCCAGACTGGCGCTTGGCATAAAGCGGTAAAACAAGGACAGGTCGGCTTGGCATCGGTATACTGTGTCTGAGTGGGGTATCCATGAAAAATTGCAGCATGGTATCTCAGTCTCAGTGGGCTAGCACTTTACAATCGGCACAATTCTGGAAGCAAACACAAACGCGAACACACACACACACACACACAGAGGTGCATGCAGTTTGCTGTATAAGTGCAATTATCTTGAATGTGACGTTTCACATCACCTCACAGTCTGTCAGTTATTTAAACACAAATCAGAATTTTTTACATGGTTAAAATGTTCAAGATGTTGAGTGGGTGGAGACAAGGGAAATAACTCTCAACTGCATCCTGACATGAACCACAATGGCTGCTCATTCTGTTGACCCATGGCTTCAAGGTCTATGCCAGTCACATGTCAACAATTTTATCAGCCTCATGAATTGGGTCTGTTTTGTTTTGGTTTCTTCTTGAGAACCTCAACATCATTGAGCAAAGACAATGGATTGGAAACATTTATTCATAATATGATTTACCATTCTATCTACAACAGAAAAATATTGATTAAATAACAAAACAAGGTTTTATAGCAAATATTAAATACAATAATATCGTGGTCCCAACAGTAGATGTTGGTATTTTAAACAAGCGGGAAAAAACAACGTTTTGGACTAATTAAACGATACAGAAACACAACAGTTGAATTTATTCTGTGGTTTACATGAGCTTCGTGATGAACAATCAAAATATACTACTCCAAAAAAGTTAAGGATCACCCGATTCTTTCGCATTAATATAGTTAACGTCTCATGCCATGACAGATTAAATACAGTAATATGAAAGAATCAGGTGGTCCTTAACTTTCTTTAGTGGTATAAGTCAGGAAATCTAGATCATCGTTCAGAGCTTAATATGCCCCCATATCTTTGTAGGACATTTTATAGCAAAGGAGGTACTTCAGTACTTAGTGTGATAACGTGATCATGATCCGAAAATTACCACCCCAAAAACACATCAGGGGATTCAGAAAACAAAGTAGTTAATTTTTTGCGGCCTAAGAAATGATCTTATACATCTGGTAGTTTCTTATACATGCAAATCCTCCTCCCACAGTTAAATCAATGCTAACCTCAAGGGGCAAGTCGACGCTGGTCCAACAAACTTTCGAACAAATGCGACACACAAGACATGGGCACACGCAAGACACGGACATACGCAAAACACCGACACACGCTAGGATCCTAGGATTTTCTGGATTTCCTGGCTTTCCGCTTCTTGGGTTTGAGCTTGGTGCCCAGGATCTCCCGACCCAAGCGCTTGACGTCGTCCCGCGACAGGTGACCCTCGTTGTCCTGGTCGTGGTCGAACGTGAAGTCGTCGGAGTCGCTGTTGTCCTCCTCGTCCAGGCGGATGCGGGTGTTCTCAGCAGGCAGGCGGTTCTCCAGGAACTCGTGAAGCTGAAACGTGCGTTGAACGGTGTCAGTGTGAAAATCTTTCCGTGCATGTTGAGTTTCAAAACAGTATCATTTAACTCAGATCTTAGTACTCGCTACTGCTATGCAAAGATCAATGAGTAGCGGTAGTGAGCACTAAGATCTAATTTTATTGCGATTGAATTTCCTCGTCATCTGGGTCATGTTGGTGTACGCGTCACTTCATCGTCATCACAACCCGGGGACCGATTTAGCATGTCTAGTGCATCTTCCCTAGGCAATGGAGTTTAACTGTCTATAAAAGTACAGTTTCAACCCTTGCCGAACGAACTAAGCCGGAAATTCGGGGCTCGATCATAGCGCCACCAGTGGTATCCCTCCAATCAGATTCCACCCTACATATCACTTGCATTTACTTCAAACAAAATGGCGGCACACAGTGAAGACGATCTGTTCGATAACCAAGATTTATACAAAAAGGCAACGTTAAACACCATTTGACCTCACCTCACCTTGGTATAAACATCAAAACAATGACATGCATCAACCAAGTCAGCAAGCCTGACCACCGATCCCGTTAGTCGCCTCTTACGACAAGCATAGTCGCCTTTTACGACAAGCATGGGTTGCTGAAGACCTATTCTACCCCGGATCTTCAGGGATTGATTGTAGTAAGTCTATGTCAACGTATGGGAGTTACGATCTTCTCAGCGCTGATAGCTTTGTGGAACAGGGCCCAGGTCACACAATTTGACCATCCGATGAACACTTTAATCGGTTCTTTGCATTTAAGCATTGGATAATGCCCCTCCGTCAGCCACAGACCCGTGAAGATCCGGGGTGGAATAGGTCTTCAGCAACCCATGCTTGCCGTAAAAGGCGACTGTGCTTGTCGGGTGGTCAGCCTCGCTGACTTGGTTGAAGCATGTCATTGATCCCAATTGCGTGGATCGATGCTCATGCAATCAATCACTGGATTATCAGGTCCAGACACGAGTATTTACAGACCGACGTCATATAGCTGGAATATTGCTGAGTGCAGCGCAAAATAGCCAACCAACCATCAGCTGCAGTGTGTTTGTTCGTCTAAAAGCGTGAATATCAACCACCCACTAGCAAGGGGATGTGGGTTCAGGTACTTGGAACAGTACCGTCGACCCCATGCACCAAAAGAAACGCCATTGACTGGAACCAGGGACTTGCACCCCTACGACCTCGCATGTCACAGCGTAACCAGGGCCAGCTTGGAGGACGCAAGCTTACCTTCTGCGTGTCGACGTTCTTGGATCCGACAGCGACCCTCTCATCCCCCTTCCCGGTGGCTGTGGCCATCAGCTGGACCAGGCGCCGCTCACAGTTGGCCAAGTCATCCACGGGATCCCCCTTGGTGAAGTTGTGGTGAGGCTGGAAGAGGACGTGCAGGGACGTTCAGGACACAGTAGCGAATTATGGACGGGTTTTCAATTTAGAGTGAATAAAAATAACGATGTTTTTTTTATAGTGAAACGGATGTTCTTGGTGACATGTTTTAGTTATGTTAACAGCCATTCACTGGTTAACATGCTGTTGATACCATCTGAGTGGGCTGCACAAACATAACCCTGTACAACTAACAGTGATACAAGTCTGTACAGCAGACACAGTCATACAACTTCGTACAACAGATGATACAACTCCGTACAGCAGATACAGTCATACAACTTCGTACAACAGATGATACAACTCCGTACAGCAGATACAGTCATACAACTTCGTACAACAGATGATAAAACTTTGTACAGCAGATAGTCATACAACTTCGTACAACAGATACAGTCATACAACTTCGTACAACAGATGATAAAACTTTGTACAGCAGATACAGTCATACAACTTCGTACAACAGATACAGTCATACAACTTCATACAACAGATGATACAACTCTGTACAGCAGACAGTCATACAACTTTGTACAACAGATGATACAACTCCGTACAGCAGATACAGTCATACAACTTCGTACAACAGATGATACAACTCTGTACAGCAGATACAGTCATACAACTTCATACAACAGATGATACAACTCTGTACAGCAGATACAGTCATACAACTTCGTACAACAGATGATACAACTCTGTACAGCAGACAGTCATACAACTTCGTACAACAGATGATACAACTCCGTACAGCAGATACAGTCATACAACTTCGTACAACAGATGATACAACTCCGTACAGCAGATACAGTCATACAACTTCGTACAACAGATGATACAACGCTGTACAGCAGACAGTCATTTGACTTCGTACAACAGATGATACAACTCTGTACAGCAGATACAGTCATACGACTTCATACAACAGATGATACAACTCCGTACAGCAGATACAGTCATACAACTTCGTACAACAGATGATACAACTCTGTACAGCAGACACAGTCATACAACTCCGTACAGCAGACACAGTAATGCAACTGCACGAATCCTGGACATGTGCTAACCATGTTTACACCATTATAATGACGTCACTCTTTTGTTCTAGCAATAAAATTATTGATTGTGAGCCAAGATATAATTCACCTGTCATTCAAAACGTGCATTTTAAACAAGTAGAATTGACGCAATTGTAGGTCATTTTGTTCAAAATATAGAAATAAGTATGCATCAAGCATAACAAAGCAGAGGTATCACTCGAACCGACATTCCGGAAGCCCTGAGCAATGGTGACGCTTATCTGGTTGATCCTGCCAGATGTTAAAATTTAACTGAGTGGTTAGCTAACCTAAAGGTTATCGATTGCTTCTGCAACAGTAATATAACAACTGGTTAACTAACGTGTGGTTAAATATTTAACGGTTGGTTTGGAATTAACCTGACGTTAAAATAACCGGGCTCTGAACAATCGGGCCCAGAAGGTTAACATGAAAATAGACCATCATTTAAACAATGCAGTTTGGGGGTTCCATTACGACACTGCATGTTGGTATTGGGTCGTAGCTTGTTGACATGGAGTCGTACTGGTTTGAGCTTGATCTCCTTCAGTTTGTCGAAGAGCGTGGCGATTCCCTTCTGAAGGTCCAGCAACAACTTGTCCTTCTTGTCCAGCATGTCCAGTGACATCACCCGCCGCTTCTCTTCACTACACGCGTAATCCTCCATGCCGTCCACAAGCAGGCGGCCCCTGCAACACCACCAACACTGTCACAGCAGCATCGCCTCGCAACATCGTCATAGCAACACCACCATAGAAAAACAGAATTATGGACAAGGGCTGCCTCCAGTATGACTGGGACCATCTACTTGGCCCTAGTCTGACTGGGACCATCTACTTGGCTCCAGTATGACACAGACCATCTACTTGGCTCCAGTATGACTGGGACCATCTACTTGGCTCCAGTCTGACACAGACCATCTACTTGGCTCCAGTATGACACAGACCATCTACTTGGCTCCAGTATGACTGGGACCATCTACTTTGCTTCAGTATGACTGGGATCATCTACTTGGCTCCAGTATGACTGGGACCATCTACTTGGCTCCAGTATGACTGGGACCATCTACTTGGCTCGAGTATGACACAGACCATCTACTTTGCTTCAGTATGACACAGACCATCTACTTGGCTTCAGTATGACTGGGACCATCTACTTGGCTCCAGTCTGACACAGACCATCTACTTGGCTCCAGTCTGACACAGACCATCTACTTGGCTACAGTCTGACACAGACCATCTACTTGGCTACAGTATGACTGGGACCATCTACTTGGCTTCAGTATGACACAGACCATCTACTTGGCTCCAGTATGACTGGGACCACCTACTTGGCTTCAGTATGACTGGGACCACCTACTTGGCTCCAGTATGACTAGGACCACCTACTTGGCTCCAGTATGACTGGGATCACCTGCTTGGCTCCAGTATGACTGGGACCACCTACTTTGCTTCAGTAAGACTGGAACCATCTACTTGGCTCCAGTCTAACACAGACCATCTACTTGGCTCCAGTCTGACACAGACCATCTACTTGGCTCAAGTATGACACAGACCATCTACTTGGCTCCAGTATGACTGGGACCACCTACTTGGCTCCAGTATGACTGGGACCACCTACTTGGCTCCAGTATGACTGGGACCACCTACTTGGCTCCAGTATGACTGGGGACACCTACTTGGCTCCAGTATGACTGGGACCACCTACTTGGCTCCAGTATGACTGGGACCACCTACTTGGCTCCAGTATGACTGGGACCACCTACTTGGCTCCAGTATGACTGGGGACACCTATTTGGCTCCAGTATGACTGGGACCACCTACTTTGCTTCAGTATGACTGGGACCATCTACTTGGCTCGAGTCTGACACAGACCATCTACTTGGCTCCAGTCTGACACAGACCATCTACTTGGCTCAAGTATTACACAGACCATCTACTTGGCTCCAGTATGACTGGGACCACCTACTTGGCTCCAGTATGACTGGGACCACCTACTTGGCTCCAGTTTGACTGGGATCACCTACTTGGCTCCAGTATGACTGGGGACACCTACTTGGCTCCAGTATGACTGGGACCACCTACTTTGCTCCAGTATGACTGGGACCATCTACTTGGCTCCAGTCTGACACAGACCATCTACTTGGCTCCAGTCTGACACAGACCATCTACTTGGCTCAAGTATGACACAGACCATCTACTTGGCTCCAGTATGACTGGGACCACCTACTTGGCGGCTTGTCTCTGACTGGTGAACTTGAGCTCCTCGAACACCGCCTTGAGCTTTGCCAGGTCTTCCTGCAGCTTGTGGCGCTGGCCGAGCTTTTCCTTCTTCTGGTGTACCAGTAGGCCCCTGGTGTTGTCCTGATTTGCCACGCGGAACACGACATCCTGGGGACAGACGGAGGGTGTTAGAGGCAGACAGACAGGCAGCGACAAGGACGGAACACAACATCCTGGGGACAGAAGCAGGGTGTTAGAGGCAGACAGACAGGAAGCAACAAGGACGGAACACCACATCCTGGGGACAGAGCGAGGGTGTTAGAGGCAGACAGACAGGCAGCGACAAGGACGGAACACAACATCCTGGGGACAGAAGCAGGGTGTTAGAGGCAGACAGACAGGAAGCAACAAGGACGGAACACCACATCCTGGGGACAGAGCGAGGGTGTAAGAGGCAGACAGACAGGCAGCTAAAAGGACGGAACACAACATCCTGGGGACAGACGGAGGGTGTTAGAGGCAGACAGACAGGCAGCGACAAGGACGGAACACGACATCCTGGGGACAGACGGAGGGTGTTAGAGGCAGACAGACAGGAAGCGACAAGGAAGGAATACCACATCCTGGGGACAGACGGAGGGTGTTAAAGGCAGACAGACAGGCAGCGACAAGGACGGAACACAACATCCTGGGGACAGACGGAGGGTGTTAGAGGCAGACAGACAGGCAGCGACAAGGACGGAATACCACATCCTGGGGACAGAAGGAGGGTGTTAAAGGCAGACAGACAGGCAGCGACAAGGACGGAACACGACATCCTGGGGACAGACGGAGGGTGTTAGAGGCAGACAGGCAGGCAGCAACAAGGACGGAACACCACATCCTGGGGACAGACGGAGGGTGTTAGAGGCAGACAGACAGGAAGCGACAAGGACGGAATACCACATCCTGGGGACAGATGGAGGGTGTTAGAGGCAGACAGACAGGCAGCGACAAGGACGGAACACCACATCCTGGGGACAGACGGAGGGTGTTAGAGGCAGACAGACAGGCAGCGACAAGGACGGAACACAACATCCTGGGGACAGACGGAGGGTGTTAGAGGCAGACAGACAGGCAGCGACAAGGACGGAACACCACATCCTGGGGACAGACGGAGGGTGTTAGAGGCAGACAGACAGGCAGCGACAAGGACGGAACACCACATCCTGGGGACAGACGGAGGGTGTTAGAGGCAGACAGACAGGCAGCGACAAGGACGGAACACCACATCCTTGGGACAGACGGAGGGTGTTAGAGGCAGACAGGCAGGCAGCGACAAGGACGGAACACCACATCCTTGGGACAGACGGAGGGTGTTAGAGGCAGACAGACAGGAAGCGACAAGGACGGAATACCACATCCTGGGGACAGACGGAGGGTGTTAGAGGCAGACAGACAGGAAGCGACAAGGACGGAATACCACATCCTGGGGACAGACGGAGGGTGTTAGAGGCAGACAGACAGGCAGCGACAAGGACGGAACACCACATCCTGGGGACAGACGGAGGGTGTTAGAGGCAGACAGACAGGCAGCGACAAGGACGGAACACAACATCCTGGGGACAGACGGAGGGTGTTAGAGGCAGACAGACAGGAAGCGACAAGGACGGAATACCACATCCTGGGGACAGACGGAGGGTGTTAGAGGCAGACAGACAGGAAGCGACAAGGACGGAACACCACATCCTGGGGACAGACGGAGGGTGTTAGAGGCAGACAGACAGGAAGCGACAAGGACGGAACACAACATCCTGGGGACAGACGGAGGGTGTTAGAGGCAGACAGACAGGCAGCGACAAGGACGGAACACCACATCCTGGGGACAGACGGAGGGTGTTAGAGGCAGACAGACAGGCAGCGACAAGGACGGAACACCACATCCTGGGGACAGACGGAGGGTGTTAGAGGCAGACAGACAGGCAGCGACAAGGACGGAACACCACATCCTTGGGACAGACGGAGGGTGTTAGAGGCAGACAGGCAGGCAGATAGTAGGACGGATTGTAGACAGACAGATTAGCTGTGTAACTGACAGACAAACAGTGTTACAGACAAAATGTGTTACAGACAGACACTAACGGATTGTAGACAAACTGTGTTACAGACTGACAAATTTACAAGCAGACACAAGGTTTCACAGGCAGACAAACGATGGTACAGACAGGCAAACAGTGCTACAGACAGACAGACAAACGGTGTTACAGACGGACAGTGTTACAGACAAACAAACGGTGTTACAGACAGAATGACAAACATTGTAATGGGCAGACAGATTGACGTAAGGAGTGAATGAGTCAATATTCTTTAAAGCCGGAGTCAGCTTCATACATGCCCTGAGGCTGTAGAAATTGACTCTCGACCCGACAAATCAGTGACATGAATATGATGGAGAATATCATGACGTCGTTGTTGCCGGGGGTGCAGGGGCGCCCTCCTCACCTGGATGTCGGACACGTTGATGGCCTTCTTGATCTTCTCGAAGGCCTCCTCCAGGGTGAGGATCTTCTCGTGGCGGCCCGCCTTCAGTGCCTGCAGCCTGGAGGACTTTACATCTGGCGACGACAGGAGTCACGGAATGACAGGGTCAACTCAGTACAAATCAACATGACGCTGCCATGTGAAGCAGGACAACTTGGGACGCGTTTTAACAATGGAATATCGAAATCAAAGCCTAAAGTAGCCAGCAATCCATGATTATTCACATCCCCACCCCAAAAATACAGGTACAGTAAACTACGGTTATAACGAACACGCTTATATCGAACTGACGGATATAACGAACTAACTTTTTAGTCCCGACTATTTGCTGTAGTTATGCTGTATATATGCTTATAACGAACTACGGTTATAACGAACTAAAAATAGTAGTCCCTTTGAGTTCGTTATAACCGTAGTTTACTGTAATATGCTTTCATGAACCGCTGAGCCCATCTCTTCATAGTTGCAGGAGCAAAGGGCGTGGTCAAAATGATGGTCACGTGGTTGTCTAGAATCAGTAATACTCTGACAGATTTGTAAACTATCAAAGAAAATATTTACTGTCAGGAGAAACAAAGATATATTTTATCTGACTCTTTACCTGAGTCTTTATCATATACATGAGTATGACATATACAGTTACGTGGTTTTCAAACTTCACTCGATGAGATATACATCGTACTTGACAAAAAGCATGACATAGTCTCTGTTTACTCACCGTTGCTCTCGCTGATGACCGACATTCTGGGCTGGAAGAACAGATGACAACAAACAAATCAAAACTGAATATGATGACAGCAGCGGTGATCAGTACTCTTATACTTGTATGTTCTTTAACAAGTTTGTTTTGTTTAACGCCGCAATCAGCACTAATCCAGGTATGTCACGGCGACCTTTCAATAATCGAGTCCGGACCAGACAAGTTGGTCCTGTACCATGACTGTTGAATATATAAATTTTATTAAAACACAACCAATCTAGATATATATACAAAAGCAAGTCTAGCCAGCTCTATTCCGCATCAGGAAATATATTTGTTTTAATTTTACAGGAGAGAAATGTATTGTGTAATAAAAGATTTCGTGGACTATATGTTAGTCTACAGATAAACAAACCAGTGATTGACATAACGAGCAACGCCCATATGACGTCATAGAGGAAAAATCACACGCAATCAAGTCATCGAGCCCGACCACCCGATCAAATTTAATTGCCTCTGACGACACACGACTGTTCCCAGCACGAATGGCCAAACCACGAAATGCGCTATCTCCTTTTCGAAAGATTTTTCAACATATTTCTTTTTGAAGTACGAGTTTCTCACATTTCAGTTTGACATTTAAATCTGGTAACAAAAGGCGTGTCGCTTTTCGTCATATCAGTCTTCGGTTCCGAAAGCCGAATCCACTCACCCTCTTCTCCGTCCGGTCGACTGGCTCCTTCCTCCTCTCAACTTCCTTCTTCGCCTCGTTCAGCTGCTGGTCACGTGACCTCTTCGCCTGGTACATCTCGCGCTCCATGCACAGCAGGTTTGTCTGGGAGGCAGGTCAACACACTTATCATCATCATTATCATCATTATTAATCTTATTTTCATCATCATCATAACAAATGGGGGCGGTTGGGTAGCCTAGTGGTTAAAGCGTTCTCTCGCCACGCCGAAGGCCCGGGTTCGTTTCCCCACATGGATATGTCATAGCGACTGATTTACGACAACCATTGTCTGAAGAACATTTGATTTAAAAGGCTAATTACCTTGTAGCCATGACATGTGCATGTCTCCATAACTTAATTGTCATTATGTATTAGGTGCTAATCCCCGTTGTTAATCCTCACCACCATTTCATTGTATATTGACTGTCAGCCAACCTGGGCTACTATATCACTTCCCGTTAATTACTGTTATTTATAGTATGACATTTATTGCCTTAACTGTTAATCCCCTGAGCTGTGTTGGTTCATCACCCCCAGAAGTCCCATGCCCAGAGCAACGTCATTGTCTGTCCAGTGTTGTTGATTACTATATATGTGTTACCATTACATGTTGTTAGTCAAGCTAGGTATCCCGAGCGTTGGTGTAAGGACGACCTCGAGCAGGATGTGCCGCTCGTAGGAAACGTCCTGAGGTTGAGCTGGAGCTCCGCTCACCTCATGTTGCCTGAGCTGGAAGGTCCGCTCATCGCTGTGTTTGTGTTGTCAGAGCAGGTATTCCGCTCATTGTGCAATTGTTGTTTATTGTTTACATGTTGTGCATAAAGTGTTCCGGGACAGTGATGTCGATTTTGTCCTTTATTCCCCCAAGAGCTAATTCCCCGTCAACATGCGCGTTGACCCGGGTTCGATTCCCGACATGGGTACAATGTGTGAAACCCATTTCTGGTGTCCTCCGTCGTGATATTGCTGGAATATTGCTAAAAGCGGCGTAAAACCATGCTCACTCACTCACTCACTATCTAAACCTCAATGGCTTAAAAAAATATCGGGAGCCCTCGGGAGCTAAACTATGAATGAGGTCAATTTGAACCCAGATCTTCACGGGGGTATATCTGAAAGAATGAGTGTAGGTAAGTGTTCCAACCCGTGCGTCTTGGCTGCTATAAGTGGCCTTTTCATTCATCTGTTTGAGTTCCGACAGCTCTGCACGTGCTTCCGTAACCTGCTGTTCCATGACGTCAAGGCGCGTGGGGTACAGACGACACTCCTGGCAAACAGTGGCGCCGTTGGTTGTTATTACTGAACGATACATTTTCACATTCATCGTAAAATCAATTTTGTGCTATCATATTTACATTGACCCCCGATTGAAACCTATAATTTATCTGGCGGCCGCCAGATACTTCCACTTGTGAGATCATTTTTCACTGTATGCCTGTATATTTTATCTGGCGGCCGCCAGATACTTTTCGCAGATACTTCCACTGGTGAGATAATTTTTCACTGTATGCCTCTATATTTAGCCAGATACTTTTCGTTTCAAATTGGCATACCACGTGTGACCAGAATTACTTCCAGGCCAGTGCCCTGGCAATCGACAGGTTGGAGATTGTATCCGTAAGACTGAGCTTTGATAGATTGAGCCAGATAAAATATAGGGCATACAGTGAAAAATGATCTCACCAGTGGCGGGTATGGGCCACCGTAGAAACCCTTTGGTGAACAATCTGAGCATTTTGATATCATGCAAAGAAAAGGTATTGTTATACATGACAATGTATATTATTGTTGAACAATGTGGTAATTGTATGACATTGTTTCCGTTGTGATTCAGTAGAAGTTCATAGCTTTGTGTTGTCAAGAATGTAGTAGTATCTTATGTAAGCATTGGTGTGGAAGTTGCTATATTTTGATGCTTTTGAAGTCAAGTGTTCTCTGGAATCTTCTAGAACAGCTAGACTAATCCAGCATGGTATCGAAGTTTCTAAAAGGTATTTAAACTATATATAAGTGGGCAAACGCATGTCTCTATCATCTCACATTACGTCAAGACCAGCTGTTGTGTGAAGATCACACTGGATATTCCGCCTAGACCAAATTTGGAGGCTTGACCACTGTTGCTGTTTGTTGGAGAGAGAGGGAGAGAGAGAGAGAGAGAGAGAGAGAGAGAGAGAGAGAGAGAGAGAGAGAGAGAGACACACACACACAGAGGAAATTGTCTCCGTTTTATATCGGGATTGCTGGAACACGGGAATCTGAAGATCTGGTAAGAGTAATGAAATGTTGTGTCTTACCATAACGCTCTGCTCTCTACTTAAAGCGTCTCCAGGAATGAAATGCGATCGCAAAAAGTATTCACCCAGTCTATAAAGTGTCGTATTTCGATGGAAAAAAACACAATGCAATCGGGAATTAAAGGTCACAATGTGAGTTTGCAACCGCTACTTTCAACCTAAGCAATACTACCTGAACGTTTTGTTTTCTTCACGAAACCCAAACATGTTTAGTCTTGTCCAAGATTGTCAGACGCGGTGACCTCACAAACATCAATATTATCTTGAGTTAAAATTAGAAATGGCAGTTTTCATTTAAATACATGGAAAACGTTCATGTAGTTAATGAAATACGTTAACGCCAGAGAATAATTTGTTGTCTCGGTTATCCTCCGAAACAGATTCTATTGGGTGTAAAAAGGCAGAATAGGATCACGGCGGAAAACCAGCGATGACACCAGGCCCCGAAGAGTTCCAAATTGCCGCTTGTGTCATAAACAAAGAGTCCTTTGAGCATGCTCAAGCCGAGCGTGAGTTGTTCTCAGCTGAGGGCAGACTCAAGAAGTTTTAAAACCTCTGCTTGAGTACAAATCTCAACTGAGTAGGGTGAGGTGAGGTGAAATTGGGTTTAACGTCGCGTCCAAGATTATTGCACTTATATAGCGACGTGCATGCACGTGTATGTGTTTGTGGGGCTGCTTGTACTAGTCCGGACTGATGCCGATTTATAGTGCTAGCTCACTGAGATACCATGCCGCAGTTTAACATGAATACCCCACTCAGACACAGTATACTGACTCCGAGCCGACCAGTCCTTGTTTTAGCCCCTTAATGCCGAGCGCCAGACAGGGTAACAACAAGTACAATCTTTTAACGTCTTTTTGTATGACGCGGCCCGGGATCGAACCCTGGACCTTCCGCTCTCCGGGCGGACGCTCTACCACAAGACCACGGAGGCGGTCCAACTGAGTACGAATTTGAGCATGAGCATGTATTTGAGCATGAAACTGAGTTGAGCACGACATTTTTTTTATAACCTCTGGGTCTGGTGTTCGCGAAAAGGGGGAGCATGTCCTGCTCCACCCCCAGTAATTATTTCATTATTTAAGATTTCATTATTTTATAAGGTTTGTTTGTTGGTTGGTTGTTTAACGCCACATTCAGCAATATTCCAGCTATTTCACGGCTGTGTGTATATAATCGAGTCTGGACCAGACTATCCAGTGATTGACATCATGAGCATAGATCCACGCAACTGGGATACGATGACATGCATCAAGCAAGTCAGCAAGCCTGACCACTCGATCCCGTTAGTCGCCTCTTACGACAAGCATAGTCTACTATATACGGCAAGCATGGGTTGCTGAAGACCTATTCTATACCCGGATGGATCTTCACGGGTCTATTTTGTTTAAGGTAAAAGTATTCTTCCCGTTGAACGTCCTTGTGAAACCAATGCTGGAAGGTAAGAAACAAGTGCACCCACCTCCTGCATGTGGGCCAGGATCGCCTCGTATCTGCCCGTGATGTTACTGGCGGCGTCAAACTTGATCCGTGCTTTGTCCAGCTCATTCTGAAGACGCCGATAGTTCTACATGCAGAGCAAGGGTGGGAAAGAGTGAGTGAGTGAGTGAGTGAATGAATGACTGGTACTGCTATACCGAAACTTGTATCACAAGTACACATGGACAATTAGAAAAGATTATTCGCTATAGTGACAGGATCGCGTAGCTCTTCAGTGTAATAGTCATTCAAGAGCTCACAAACTGGTAATTCGGTATATCGATTTAGGTATTTCATATATATATTTACTACCGACTGCCGTTTTAAGAGAGAAAATTAAGAAAGGTGTTTGAAATATTACCCATACAACGACACTGTCTGACGTTGAATATGCTTTGAAATTTGCTAAAATGCACGTGACCACAAGACGTTTCAACAAAATAGCCCACGTGTATTCAGAAAAAAGCTGTAAATGAGGTAAACTCGACACCTGTAATTAACTGTCCGTCTGAACAGAGACCATCTATTATTTGCTCTCTGCTCTGAATAATATTGAAAGTCCCCGAAAGTTATCCTCTAAATATGAGATCACTGACCCGCTCTTTCTCGGAGTCGTAGTCATATGAAACCATATCCAGCATTCGGGACAATTCCAATTCCAGTTCATCTAACTGGTTTTCCTTTTGCGTTACTTCATGCTGCTGGCTGTTCAACCTCTTGCTGGCCTCGCAGACTTTCTGGTCCATCACGCGTATGGCTTTCTGTAACCAATGGCAACGGAGTGATAGAGCATGGCAAACTGAGCGTGTTGAGATGGGAGAATACCCGTCACCGGATTTAAGGATAAATGACATAATACTGATTATACTGATGTTCCCTAAAGATCTCTACAGGACTTCTTGTGAAACAAGCAAATGGAATTCTTCACGAAAGAATGGCACCGGGGTGGTCCAGTTATCTGAGGCGACACAATTCGCTGTGCCGAGTTACCCTTTGTTTGTCTGTTTGTTTGTTGTTTAACGCCGCATTCGGCAATATTCCAGCTAAATGACGGCGGTCTGAAAAAATAATCGAGTCTGGACCAGACAATCCAGTGACTGACGTCGTGATCATCGATCTACGCAAAAGCAATACGATGACATGCATCAATTAACCAAGTCAGCGAGCTTGACCACCCAATCCCGTTATAGTGCAAAGTCGCCTCTTATGACAAGCATAGTTGCTTTTTACGGCAAGCATGGGTTGCTGGAGACCTCTTCTACCCCGGATATTCACGGGGAGCCGAGTTACCTCCTTTACATGTGTCGGAAACCTATGATCGTGGGTTCGAATCCCAGTTTCGCCCTGATTGTTTTTCTTCGTTTGTCAGCACCATACCCACCCTAAGTGTGTGTGTTTGTTTGTTTGTTTGACGTTTAACGCCGTACTCAATATTCCAGCTACATGACAGCGGTCGATTCGAATGACGACAACATTGCCGTCCGGATGACGTAAACAACACACGGTGCGCGTGAAGTGATACTTGCACATACGATTTTTATGAACTCGTTATTTCTAACCCTATGGGTAGAATATTTCTCCACTATTATGGTAATTTTTTTTATCACAATAGAATGGGGATATATACACTGGATAATCGAGGCTGCAGAAAGAGACAACGAGCTGTGTTTCTGTACACGTCAAGGAGAGCACGGCGGCCACAAGATCGGGAATATTTGTATGGTCGGAAGTTTTATCTTACTTAGTGGGGCGCTGGCAGCGGTTTTGTTTAGAAAAGCGAATCCCTCACAAAAATATATCTGCCACGGTGGTGGCATGTATGGAATATTTATTAACCCCTAGGGTCATCTTCATTCAAATCACCCAACTCTTCGTTTTGTCTTGTCGGGGAAGTGGTAGCGGCTATTTCAAAGAACCAACAATCCTTGTAGACAATTGTAATGATAATTCAAATTTCTCTAGTACCGGGCGTGTATAGCCATCTGAGCTGTTTTTAAATTGTCACTCCGATTTCATACCTCTGTCAAGATCGGATCTTTGCATGAGATTGCGAGAAGCTGAAAATGCACTAGACTAACACTTATTCAATGAAAAGATGTCTTTGAAAAAAAAAGAACATTTCCGCTTCTGCTGTTGAACCAAGCAAACTAGACTTGGTTCGTTTGATTTAGACTTGCCTAACAAAGAAATACCTAAAAATTATTAATTCCACAGTCATGGCGCAGGACAAAAAATACACCTGTAATTCTCTGTTTGTGATGCCTTGGTACACTTATCTAAAGTCCAACAAGGACAACGACTGTGCCGTCAAAATTAGACTAAAATCTAGTCTCTGAAATGAACATATCGTACATAAAAAAAACAGTTGTTCAGTTATCTTAATAAAAATATAATAAAAAGGAGCCCAGTGACTCTCTTCATTTTCAGATACTGCAGTGATCTAGACTTGCTAAACATTATAGACTTGCATGGGCTGTATTTGATATATATTTGTATCAGGGTCTGTAAGACAGACTACGTCAATATATGCATAGACCTTGCTGCAGTAACCGTATCTCCGTGCTTCTTCCTATAGACGCTTTGATATTGACTTGTGTCTAACTATTACCGCAGGAAGCACAGCTCGACCACAATACGAGATCACAATAAATGGGTATGAATTGGCATTCAATCCAAACCGATGACCAGACTCCATATATATCATACAGGAGCGTTAGTGTTGACCTACTTAAACCAACAAAACCATCCCCCAGAGGACCTTGCCCGCACAGGATCCATGGCGGGAATATCAACAGCTAACCTAAACGATGTTGGTACATCTCAACCAAAACAAGATGGCCGCGGCTGGTCCCAATTGGCGATTGTCCAAACTTCTCCCCGGTACTTCTCATGTTGATAGAGGATTACATACATCTCTGCAGCACATCGCTCTTGCACTTCGAGCCATGCGCGTGATAAGCACGTGCGCCCATAATTCATTCGGAGACACCAGGGGCGCGTTTTATTATCTCAGCAGTTCGAAGTTAGTCGTCTGCTTATTTTCCCATTCTGCCAGTCTGGGGGTTGCAACTAGCTGGTCCATCTTGAGAAGGACGAGCCGACTGTCCGATGCAAAGTAACATTGATGTGTTTATAGACTAAACAACCGCTCACCAAATTGCCCCACAGCGCACTTGGTCATGTTGCAAGGATTAAATGTCGGGGGTTGTGTGGCATTTAAACCCCGGATTTTTAGGGAAGGAGGAAGGGGCTCACAAACGATTTCTTTTCGCTGAACATTTAGTTTCAGAATGCTGTATCCAAAGACGTATACAGATACGTATTTGGTGTATCCTATAGACATTGCTGAGGCTGAGTTGATTCACCACTGCGAATTGGCTGCTTTCTCAATGGCGCCATACTTCAACAGAGACCGTTATTTTATGGGCTCCGACTTCAAGAACTCTTGGCTTTATTATAAATTGTGATATAGCAACACGCCAATGGATTGTATATACAGTATCAAGTACTATAGATCGCTACGTGGATTTACAACGTAGGCACTCCGGTTTTTACGTTAATATCTAGCCCCGTGAAGATCCGGGTTCGAATGGGTATTCAGCAACCAATGCTTGCCGTAACAGGCGACTATGCTTGTTGTTAGAGGCGACTAACGGGATCGGGTGGTCAGGCTCGCTGACCCGGTTGATGTATGTCATCGTATCCCAACTGCGTAAATCGATGCTCATGATGTCAATCAGTGGATTGTCTGGTCCAGACTTGATTATTTACAGACCGTCGTCATATATAGCTGGAATATTGCTGAGTGCGGCGTTAAACATTAAACAAACAAACGTTAATCCCCCCTTATAAGTAAAATTCTTAAGCAATCATTTAATATGCATGACGTCATCGCGGTCATGGTATTTTATCATCCAAAACTGGCCACCACATGAGATACCGTTTAGGTGAATTTAAGCGATCTCTCCAAGGAAATATCGCCGCAATGAAATTGTATCACCATGTTTTGCAAACCATTGTGACGTCATCGTTACCATGACGTCACAATAAAATGATATCACTAATCTCTGCCACTTAAACTGGTTACCTGTACTTGTTACATTCAAGATTGCTGTTTACAAACTGAAACAACAATTGTAAAAATGACTTTGGATGATGATAAATATAATTTCACCCTCGTGTCTTTGGATATGAAATATATCAACACTCGTCAATAAACGATTAAACTTTTATCAGAGACCATATACCGGTATCTGCTTTTATCGACTCATGTTGATATATTTAATATCCAACGACACAAGGATGAAATTCTCTTTAGATCTGTGTAAGTCAACACGGACATAGCGTTATATTTTGTATTTGATAATAACATACCCGATTTATATGGAATACAGATTTCAAATACAAAGTAAACTCAATCTGCCACAGTAACGTTTAGTTTTCAGATCAGTACAAAAGAAACACAAATAGTACATTTTTCGGTGTTTTGGGGGGTCAAATGTTAATCTCATCTCGTGACCTGAGAGCAGTGATATTTTAATTTTTCATGGCATTTGATTAGGTAACCAAGCTAACCAAGCAATGTTTCCATAAAACGTGGGAAAGGCCACGCCCAGTAGGGGATTAGTATTTCCTGATTGGTTGATAACAGAGTGGGCGGGGCTTGTGGTGCATTATTGGGCTGAACGACATCACTAATTTCGTTTTTTGTCTACATTCTTGTTTCAGATACAACCAGAAAAAACAGATCTGTTGATTTTATTGTAAACTGTGAGCCTGATTTCTTAAAAGAAAACCTCATTGCAACAATGAATACTTTGTGGCAGCCATTTCTTTCTCTTATCAACAGTCTGAAGCATAATGCTATTTTTCAATAATTTTCGGGGACAATTTATTTATTTCGATAAATTTCTGCCTCCATGAACGCAAAACAAAAATTGTCGAGTAGTGCAAATAGTAATTATTTTTTGGTGGCATTATTACTCCATTCCGAAGTGGGCGATGTTATTAGACCAGCGGTCATCAGTTTGTTTCCAGAACTCCAGCCGTAAGTGCAGTCTTCTGTTACCAACACGTGTCAGTTTTGTCTTAACAATTGTTAAGTGTTGTGTAGACAGTGTCCCCGAGCACCTACCTCGGCTGTGTATCGATGCATAGAGAGCAGCTCCTCCTTCCGGTTGTGAAACACGGACTGGATCACAGACGTGTCCGCCTGGTGGCAAAACCAAAAGACTGATTATAACCTTTGTATTCTGAATATTCCAACCGTCTACCTTCTATCTGAAGAAGATCGTTTTGCCCGTACGCCAACGTAGTTTCAAAAGAAGGATCATCCTCGATTGTCATGGGTAATCTGTCACCACATTGTTCCAAGTAATACCCTTGACCGACCGAAAGGCGATGCTTTCTTCAAAGAAGTTACATGGTTTGTAACACGTTAGGAATTAGCAAAGAAATATTTTTCTGCTAACCTAATATGACATATATGACGTATACGGCAACTAAATACACCATAACTAATAGAATACCGTTCGGCCTAGTTCGGCAAGGGTGGAAACTGGACATTTACAGTCAGTTAACTCACTTGCTTTGAAAAGATGTATGATGCGATGTATAGAAAGTAAGGGAAAAGGTAGTCAAATAACAATTGCCATGGAATATGTCAAGGCTATTTTATACGGAAATATATAGTTTGCGGTGCTAAATTAGTTTCTAGGCGCGTACATTTTCACAAAGCATTCGCCGGGAGAGTGGTTCCTGGCCGGTTTCGCTGTAGGTGTACAACTTAAAGGCTACCATGGCAATGACACGAACCTATTGGCTGAATCAGTCTCCATATAAATATAATAAAATGTTAAAAAGGTAAGGTAGAAAAAAGTTATAGAATGGAGTCCCCGTTTCCTTGTTTTGTTTGGTATGCATTCCGAACGCACCTGGTACGAGGGAAAATACATGTTGTATTTTCAGATTATATGTTAAATTCATATTTGAAACAAGATCTGTAGTTTCAGGTACATATTTTTTTAGTATTACAGCAACGTTCAATGTATTGTTATGATTATCATGATTACGATCTGAGCTCTTACTTTGATACTTCTATTCAGGGCAACACGCTTGTATTTGTTCTCCGCGCGGAGGCGGGCAATAAGCTCTTCGTTCTTCGTCTTAAGTGCCTCTGAGCCTTCGTAATACGCCTTGCCATCTCGCTCTGAAACAAACAGGCCCGTGTCACGGGTTCAAATGTAGACGATAAGAGATGGCCATTCGAAACTCGCATGAAACCAGAGGCTTGGTGGCAGAACATCCATTGAGGTCAGAGGTCAGGTTTCATATGACACCGTGTAACTGGATCTGCGAAACAGCACTTGACACAGAACATAAGAATGGCTCTCAAACATGGCTTATTTCATTGTCATTATTCCTAGAAACAACATGAGAAAAGCTACATTGATTTCTCATGACTAACATCTCCGAAATGAACTTATTTTTTACAGGAAAAACAGTTGTCTATCGTAATAAAATATAACAAAAAAGGAGCCCAGAGACTCTCTTCATTTTCAGAAACTGCAGTTATCTAGACTTTCCCACTATTATAGGTGAGATGAAATGGGGTTTAACGTCGCGTCCAAGATTATTGCACTTATATAGCGACATGCATGCATGTATATATATATATATATATATGTATATATATATATATATGGCAGCTTGTACTAGTCCGGACTGATGCCGATTTATAGTGCTAGCTCACTGAGATGCCATGCCGCAGTTTGACATGAATACCCCACTCAGACACAGTATACTGACTCCGAGCTGACCAGTCCTTGTTTTAGCCCCTTAATGCCGAGCGCCAGACAGGTAACAAGTACCATCTTTCAACGTCCTTTTGTATGACGCGGCCGGGGATCGAACCCCGAACCTTCCGCTGTAACACTAGACCCCGGAGGCGGTCCCCGATATTATAGACTTCCATGGGCTATATTGGATATATTTGTTTCAGGATGTTTCAGGATGTGCGACAGACTATGATTTCTCCTGAAATAACAGATCGTGTAATTCTATGATTTCATAGGTCGGTACGTGGTTGAGAAAAGGGAAATAAAAGCATTTTCTGTTATGCATGATCAAGTGCACCTGACATTCTTGAAATAAAACTCCGCAAAATAGTTTTTAACCAAATATTGTTGTTTCAGCAGGAATTGCCACGTGTGAAGGACATTCTTGGTGTCTCGTGCCGTGATATTGCAGTGTGTGTGTGTGTGTGTGTGTGTGTGTGTGTGTGTGTGTGTGTGTGTGTGTGTGTGTGTGTGTGTGTTTGTGTGTGGACTGATGTCGATTTATAGTGCTAGCCTAATTAGATGTCATGCCGCAGTTGAACATGAATATCCCACTCAGACACAGTATACTGACTCCGAGCTAACCAGTCCTTGTTTTAGCGACCACAAGTCCCATCTTTTAACGTCTTTTGGTATGACGCAGCCGCGGGAGTTGAACCTCGAACCTTCCGCTCTCCGGGCGGACGCTCAACCACTAGAACCCGAGGCGGTCCCTTACATTATGAAGCTCACCTTTCAGATGAAGTTTACCACGTAGTTCGTCTATTTGTTCAGAAAGGCCGCTGGCAGTGCCAGTCGCCGTATCCGTCCTCATCTGCATCACGCTAGGCTTCCTGGTAAAACAGTTCATTATTCAATAGGAATTTATATACTTCTATTTCATAATCTGAAACAAGATAGAGGACCTCGAAAATATTGCCTGAAAATAATAGTTCTCCATAAAATACCTCTTCCAGTTCGATCCATCACACAACAAGTTTATAGAAACTGTCTGAGCATTAAGTGAGTGAGTGAGTGAGTATGATTTTACGCCGCTTTTATCAATATTCCAGCAATATCACGGCGGGGGGACACCAGAAATGGGCCTCACACATTGTACCCATGTCGGGAATCGAACCCGGGTCTTCGGCGTGATGAGCGAACGCTTTAACCACTAGGCTACCCGACCGCCCCTCTGAGCATTAAGATTGCAAAAACGTTTCATAGTGAAAAGTGACAATAATTGAATTAATTAATTCGTTAAGAAAAATATGTCAAAGAAACCTTTAGTCTCAAATTGATTAAGTTTAGAACTGTCGACATTGACTGCTAGAGTGTTGGGATGTTTTGTCCCAGCTTCATGACGGCTGACTGTAAATAGCTGAGTCAGAGCCAGCAGACAATCAAGTGATTATATTATGAGCAACGATCATGATGGTACGATTTGTTTTGTTTAAAGGTTTGTTTGTTTGTTTGTTTTTTGTTGGGCCCCAGGGTACGACGACAGCAAGCCAAACCCTAAATGTACTCGTATACTGGTATTCTGTGTAATGCATGGTCAAATATAGTCAATACCTTGAATGTTGTAAGTGCATTGTTAAATACAGTCAATAGCTCTGTATTGTAAATGCATTGTTAAATACAGTCGGTTACTTTTAATTGTTTATGCATTGTTAAATACAATCAATAGCTATATATTGTCAATGCATTGTTTAATATAGGCAATTCCTTAAATATTGCCAATGCATTGTAAAAGTCGGTGATTATTAATCATTAATGCATTGTCAAACACAGTCAGTAACTATTAATTGTTAACGCATCGTTAAATACAGTCGGTGACTATTAATTATTTATGCATGTTAAATACAGTCGGTGCTTGTTAATTGTTAATGCAGTCAATGTCTATTAATTGTTAATGCATTACGCCTACAGTATGAATCTTTACATATGTTATTGTTTGGGAGATTTTGTCAAATTATGTTTTAACAGTCCCAGAATGTACAGATGTAGCTTAAGTATCACCAGATTCGACGAGTGGCTGGAGTGAGTGAGTGAGTACGCTTTTACGCCGCTTTTAGCAATATTCCAGCAATATCACGGCGGGGGACACCAGAAATGGGCTTCACACATTGTACCCATGTCGGGAATCGAACCCGGGTGTTCGGCGTGACGAGCGAACGCTTTAACCACTAGGCTACCCGACCGCCCCACGAGTGGCTGGAAAGTTCTGAGTCTAGAAGGATGTGTCGTACAACTTTAACAGTTTGCATGTATTAAGTACAATACTTCCCGTGATTCCCGGCTGCGTTTGAACCAAATACACAAACAGGCAGCATATATCTGCAGGCCTCAAAGTGATTAGGTAATCCCTATGGATTAAAACGGACAAAATTTAAGCGGACAAAGTTTCTCATAATGAAAGGTTAACCCCAACAGGCATCCTTGCGGACATGGTGTCAACTTTAAGGGATGGTGTTCCTTCCACTACCACTGTTTAGAGATGGTCAGCGTTATTCAAGAAAGGAAGAGAGAGCCTCGAAAATGATCAAAGACTGGGGCCCGTTTCACAAAGCGACCGTAGCGTTACAACCGTAACTCCTATACCTTAACATAGACTCGATCGTCTTAGCGCTTCGACTTCTTTGTGAAACGGGCCCCTGGAAGACCTTCAATTGCTACCAACAAAGAAAATGTTGAAAAAATACATGGCATTGTTATGGATAGTCGACAACTCACCACGCGCCACATAGACAAAACAGTTGACTTCTCTCATGAGAGAGTTGGGGGGGGGGGGGGGGGGGGGGGGCACGGGTGGCCCAGTCGTCTAAGGTGCCGCGATTCGCTGTACAGGGTTGCGTCCCTTGGACACGCCAGAAACCTATGATTGTGGGTTCGAATCCCGGTTAGCCCCGATTATGTTTCTAGGTTTGTCAGCACCATACCCGTGCTCGTGGGTTTCACCGAAGTGGTAAACGTCTGAGACCTGCATCACTTCGGGCTTTCCTCCCACATTAAGCTGACACGCCGCGATATAACTGGAATATTGTTAAAAGCGGCGTAAAATCCAACTCACTCACTCACTCACTATGAGAGAGTTGAGAACATTCTGAGGAATTAACTGGGCATGACCAAGGTTTCAGCACGTTGCTTTCTAGACTAACATCTAGTCTCCCAAATGAACATATCGTACAGAAAACACAGTTGTTCAGTTATCTTAATAAAAATATAATAAAAGGGAGCCCGGTGACTCTCTTCATACTGCAGTAATCTAGACTTGCTAAACATTATAGACTTGCATGGGCTGTATTTGACATATATTTGTATCAGGGTCTGTAAGACAGACTAGTTGGTTTCCCAAGGCTTCTGACTCGCGAGATTTTACGTGGTTCTGAAGCAGACCCAGCTGGCTTTGCAAAAAGATTTGTAATATGGATGAGTCTTGTGTTCACCACTTTCAGCCAGAGACTAAACAACAGTCAAAGCAATGGAACAAATCTAACGTCTCTTCCATCGAAGGAGGCAAAGTCTATTCCATCAGCTGGCAAGGTGTTGGCTTAGGATTTCTGGGATTCCAAAGGACTACTACTAGCAGGTGGACTACCCCCCCCCCCCCCCCCCCCCCCCGAAGGCCAATTTATGCTAATATGCTTAGGCAACTACGTGAGAAAATCAAGGCTAAACGTCGTGAAATCCTCACTCAAGGTGTGTTGTTCCACCAGGACAATGCAACTGTGCATAAGTCTGTTGTCATGGTAGCAATGCATGACTGATCTCATTGACAATCCTCGTATTCACCAGATTTGGCTCCGTCAGATTTCCATCTCTTCACAAACTTGAAGTAATAACTATCCGACAAGCGTTATATAAATGAAGGTGACGTAATTTCTACTGCGAGGGACTTTCATCACCACGAGGAGGAAGCTCAACATTGTTGGCTGAAGTGTGTGGACCTCGGAGGGGAATATGTTGAAAACAAACTAGAAAACCAACTCCATCACCGAGTCTCATCATAGTTAGGCTCCGAACTTTTAGGCAACCCCTCCTACCATATACCACAGGCACGCTGACAACTTTGATCCATTACATATGTATCTGTCGAAACCGGACACTGTCAAATCCGCATCTCTTTCAATACCGGACTAAATATACAGTCGTGAACTTCATTTATCATCAAGTAAAATCTGTCTGATCCTGAATTTCCTTCCTCCCCATTCCGGACTGAAATTGTGGTACCAGGACCAATTTATCACGTAATTCCGTGATAAGATCCGTATAAGCAAAATATCGTGCGTGCGTATGTGTGTGATGTATATGGCCCTGGTTTAATAAATAAAATAAGCATATGTGGTATGGTGGCAATAACGGCCGTAAACACACGTGGATTTGATGCAGATGCATTTGACCTGCCCTGACCTGTGATGGAGCTTTGTTCGTTGCCTATTTAAAGAGCGATATATATGCCTGTGTGCATGGCTGCACATGTCAAAGGTCACACGGCTTTGTCATGTATATGTGTCAAGTGGGTTGGTATGGCGGATAGGTGTATCCTCAAGAATGTCCCCTTGTTTGGTGGAATGCAGACAGTTAAAAAGATCCATAAATATACGATTTGTTTTTCAACGCATAGGTTAAAACGATCCGTCAATAAACTATCTGGCAAAACGAATGAAGGTGCAAAATACATGGTCTCCGGTGGAAAATAAAATATTATCTTATGGATTCTTTAAAGTTCACATGGAACGAGTTATGTATGAACACCTCGGCAATGTTTGTTTGTTTTCAACATTGCAGTGAGTACTACTTAAGCTGTCTGACGGTGGCCTTTAAATAATCCAGAATGGACCAGAAAAACCAGTGAGCAACATTCCACGCGATCGGGAAACGACGACATACAAATGACAGTCACCGAGCTCTGACCACCTGGGCCCACTTGCACAAAGCGATCTTAGCCCTAAGACTTTTGTAAGCCTATGTTAAAGTATGGGAGCTCTGATCATCTTAGCGCTAAGATCGCTTTGTGCAAGTGGGCCCTGATCTGTTTAGTCGCCTCGCACGACAAGCATAGTGGGGTGGAGTCGGGGTGGGGTTTGGGTGGGGTTGGGTTGGTAATGGTGGTGGAAACCCAAAGTACACATTGGCCACATGTTGTCTCTTATTTACGCCATGTATAGGCCTGGGCCTAGATTTGTATATCCCCCAAAGCTGCTTGAATTTGATTTGCTTTCCGAAAAAAATATGAAATTTTAAATCTGGTAACTTCACCGTTCAAGTTCAGCTCAGTCCATCATGTTTACGGAAACCGCCCAAGGCTGGGACCTAAACACAGCAGTTGACCCCACGGGTCCCATCAAGCATTAAAAAGGGGGGAGGGATTTGGCGTCATTAAGTTGATTGTACTGAGGTGCCACTATCTGGAATGTTATGCATTTGCTTGGATGAGCAACACTGTCGATAGAAAGTGATCCACAAGAATGGCGCATTGCATTTTTTTAAAACACATGAAACAATTAACGTTAACCTAAAGACGAAAGACATAAGGGCAAGAGCTGGGTTTTGTTTTGTCAAATAAATTTAAAAACCTACCTTCGTTCATATGCGTGTCTGACGGTTTTAGTAGGATGCCATTTTTGCTGTTGTCAAGAGGCGTCGTAACAACAGAATAAAGTCATGATATACATGACGTCACAAACCATGGCGACATAATATAATGACGTCACAGACAAATGAAATAAAAGTATGACGTACTAGTCTATTTTTTTCGACATGACGTAGCGTAAAGAGTAGATTCTACGATGTAGGGACTGTCATATATTATAAAGAGTCGGGGGTTTGGGCTAGAGGCCTGTATGTCTTTGCGGACCCCCACTCCCTAATTTTATCTAACATTTTCCTTCCATGGCCACTCCTATAATAATTAACCAGTCCCTAGATAATGTTCAAACATTTTTTTATTGGAACAAATAGAACTGTCATTTGTTCATGAACACCTGAGGTGTGTGTGTAACGCTATACAACCAAGACCCGAAGTGAACAAGTATATATAGCGTTATATATATATATATATATATATACAAAAATGAGGCAAATGTTCACTCGATGTACATGTAATAGATAATAAAATAATAGTCCACTTTAGTCCAACTTTTTTATATCAGTTTCAGACTGATATATATATATATATATATACACACACACACATATATATACACAAACACACACACACACACACACACACACACACACACACACACACACACATATATATATATATATATATATATATATATATATATATATATATATATATATATATATATATATATAAGGAAGAGAATTTATGGATGTCAACTTCACCTGATGGAGTAAGTATATATTCCGAAACGTTGTGTTCCTCATAATAAAGAAGTTGACATCCATAAATTCTCTTCCTTATGTGTATCACTTCTAAATGCCTTTCAAAGACAACTATGTATAAATAGATACATGTATATAAAAAAAATATCTTGCCAATTAAAATGATTTAGATAGATCAGTCATTTTCGTTACATTATGTAATAATACTTAAATTCATCGGATATAATTATCAAAACACACAAATAAACAGTAAGACAGTAATAGGGACGATTTGACGAGATCACTCGACCTCAAAATAATTTCTAACGAAATAACACACTTCAATAGGCCTTACTCTCTCGGTCGCCATGTTGACAAATGTTACAATAGTCTTTTTCAAATACAATTTAAAAAATGGTATATTCTGATCTGAAACTTTAAAAATATATTAATATTCCTGACATGAACTCAAGCACGGGTTATTGCACGCTTTCGCAGAGCTTGAACCGGTTCCTTGTTATTCCCGGAGACGTGACATGTTGAGAGTTACCTGCCCTTTGCCCACTGCTCAAGAGAGGGAAACACAAACCAGCGATGGCATCCACACCAACACAAACGAATTCCAAGCAAAGGTTAGATTTTGTATTAAAGACTATGTTAATGCTGTATTTCTATTGAGAAGATCAATAAAATCGATGATTGTCTGCTGTTTAGCTTCACGAATTAAGAGAAAAAGTACAAAAGTTTGTTGACAATGACAGGCCTTTCTAAATTCTACTCATAGTATGAGCGTGCTGACGAGAATTTGGGGAAAGGTCTTCATGTAATCTCAAGCACGTTGACCAGGGCTGGGACGAGTCCAAATTTACAACGTGGGTACCCACCCCCCTATTACCCGACCCTACCCGGGTACCCGCTATAGGTCTCAAGAGATGGGTACACATGTCCGATAGGGAATAGTTTGACAGTAGCTCTGGCAAAATGAATTTAGATACACGTATAAAACGATCTGGTCATACATACACTGAAGTTGACAGAAGTTTTATCTCTATTCAAACATATAATGTCAGAAGGAATGCGTGCCTAGTCAGAAAGAAATGCGAACATTAGTCACTTATAGTGTAACAGTGAAAGTCCTGGGCCCACTTGCAAAGCGATCTTAGCGCTACGGTGATCGTAACTCCCATACTTTAAAGTAACATAGGCTTTCAATAGTTGTAGTGCTAAGATCGCTTTGTGCATAATAATTTTTGCAATGAACAATATATCACGTGAGTAACCACGGGTCCGGGTAGTCCAGTGGGTACCTGGGTCCTACTAAGTACCCACCCAACCTGAGTACCCGAGTTACACGTCCCAGCCCTAACGCTGTCCTATTTAAAAATGTACAATTCCTGACACAACTTGATTGTTTTTAACCTGACAAAAGTGACACATTTTGATGACTAATAACATAAATTATAACCATAACAAGACTTAGTGTCTGCATGACATATAGGGGATTTGATAACTGATTTTGCTCTTTTGCTTTCAAAAGACCTTTTTTTCATTTTTAATACCTACCAACCTTCTCAGCCTTGGAAATTCATGCTATTCGTGATATTAAATTGTACTGACAAGTTAAAATCCAATGATGGTAGTCCTCATTGACTAGTAGCATTTGAGGGCTATAATTGAGGGTCCTGATGGGTGGGTCCCATAAGCAGTAAGCAGTAAAATGTAGGGTACTTTTTCATTAAGCAGTAACTTTTCTTCTTTTTCAATAAAATCGTCACGAAAAATTCCTAAATCAGCCATGGCAGGACATGGGACTTTTAATTCTGCTTTCGTTTCATCCTGACAATTCATATTTTTAATACCGGGTAAAATCTCAAATCGCTAAACATTCTAGACTGGTCCCCTGCGTCAGTTGCGAAGCCTGCTTTCTGTGGTGAAGCATTTGGGCCTTGAAGACAGACTGTTTTTGACCATTTTAATCATTTTATAATAAGCAGTAAATTATTCATTTACTTTAAGCAGTTATTTTTTGGTATTTTACAATAAGCATTTACGATAAAAAAAGATGAATTTTACGTTTACGATAGTGTTTGAAGTGTTTTTTACTTTAAGCATTAAAACCCATCAGGACCCTCATAATTCTGAACCAGTTCTTTATCGGTTAATGCTTCGACTTTGCTACAAATTGGAACTGAATAAAACTGACAGAAAAAGTAAACATTGTGTCCTCATATAGCTGGAATCACGGACCTATATAACCTATATTATACAAGTCCGTGCTGGAATTTAGCAAAAGGCTTTGAACTTGAAGCCAAGTAATACTATCCCTGTAGGTAATACTCACTTATATTGACACTGTTCTTGAGTGAGGATGGTTTAACATCATTTTTAACCATGTTAACAGTATTTCAGTTACATCACAGTGTGTTAGCTTCATCATGTTGATATGTTTGGAAAACCGGAAGCGATGCCTTAATTAACATGATTAATATCTGAATTCTTGATTTTAGCAGTCGAGGAAGACAAAGTCAAGGTAACTTCAAGTCTCCCCTTGGTCAGCTGTTCAAGTCTCCGGTAGGTTTGAGCATTAAGGAGGGGCGTGTGAGCACTGTTACCATGGTAACCGTTGTATGGTGTTTTATTATTTTGACATGGCACTGTACTTAATGGAATCTTGTCACAACAAAGCAAGAGTGACTCCGTGACATCCATACGCCATTTTAATTTAGAAGCCATGTAACAATGGTGGTTACATATGAAAGAACTGAGAATGCTGATTACAGAACACTTTTTATAATTAAAACTGTTCAGTTAGTTCTAAGGTTGTACATTACGCCTGCAGAAATATGAACATACAGTTGGTACTTTTTTTAAGAAAATGTAGCCATATTCATTTGCATATTGTATATTTTTTTTAAGGTAGCAAAAGGTTGACACCAAGGGGTAACTTAATGTGCTTAATCCATTACTGCAATCAGTTTAGCTTTATGTCTAAAAAGTTCGCTAATACAAATAATTGAAGCAACTGAACATCAACATGGGAAAATTCCCACACGACTCGGTGAATGTGTACATTCTTTCCTTAACTATAAAAAACAAGAGTAATTAACATGTTCATTCTATTCTTAATTTGATATGTGACCAGTATTCTAGAGCAAGAAGAAACTCTTTTCCCAAGCGTCTCGGTACCCCTCCCTCTATTGAGAATTTTATAAGACTCATGTCAGCTGAAAACGAACAAATTGTTGAAAACGAAACACAGTGTTGAACGGTAAATTATTATTAAATCTACTCAGCATGCAAATATATATACAGGATATTTCCATTGTATTATGGGCCGGTGGCATGAAGTACCGAATAAATTTGTCTGTGTCTGTCTGTTAATTTGATAAATTCAATGTACATAAATAACAGTAATATGCAATCGATGGCAATTGCTTCAAATTATTCTTGCTATTCATGAATGAGATACATATATTACTCAAAATAAATTAAAGAACACGCTTTTTCATTTGACTATCGCTAATCTGTCATGGCCAGTAGTGTGTATTCAAATATGCTGTGATTTGAACAAATGTGCTGACACAGTGTCATATTCAGTGGAAATTACACATGCAGTCTTTCCTATTTTCCAGCTTAGCTCAACGAGATGTCCTGCAGCCGAGAGTGGGGAGACGTTACAGGCAGACATTACTGCCCTTCATGCAAGGCTGTCCCAGGTAGAGACGGAGATTCGGCAGATGAACAACGAGTAAGGAGAGTTGATTGTCAAGCATCCTCCCTAACCTTGCAGCTTCTGTATATATCTCCAATCTCTTACCTTTGCAGATTACATATATATATCTCCATTCTCTCTTGATAGTGTTCTGGTGGATAGAGCACCTGCCCAGAACAGAAGGTTGGCAGTTCGACCCCCGACACATCATTCGAAATTTATGTTTAACTTTGGTACTTGTTGTTTCCCTGCCTGGCTTTCCCGACACATCATTCGAAAATATGTTTAAATTTATCACTTGTTGTTTCCCTGCCTGGCATTCCTGACACATCATTCGAAAATATGTTTAAATTTGGGACTTGTACTAACCCTGCAAGACATTCCCGACACATCATTTCAAAATATGTTTAAATTTGGTACTTGTTGTTTCCCTGCCTGGCCTTTCTGACACATCATTCCAAAATATGTTTAAATTTGGTACTTGTATTTACCCTGAGTGGCATTCCTAACACATCATTCCAAAATATGTTTAAATTTGGTACTTGTTGTTTCCCTGCCTGGCATTCCCCACACATCATTCAAAATATGTTTAAATTTGGTACTTGTATTTACCCTGCCTGGCATTCCCGAACATCATTCGAAAATATGTTTAAATTTGGTACTTGTTATTTCCCTGCCTGACATTTGGCATCAGGGAATAACACAAGGACTGGTCAGCTCAGAGATAGAACACTTTGTCTGAGTGGGGTATTCATGTTAAGCTGTGCCATGGTATCTCATAATCATGAAAATAGAATGGAGATATAGTACACCAGATAAATGAGGATGACACCCAGCATGAATACTGACTGTTATCTTACCTTGTATGAAGATACTTGTTTCTGATTGGTTACTGAATGTGCAGTTTTATCTCATGTTCTGCTGACTGATATGGAATAAACTTCATACACCCCACTGGGAAATGCTGAACTAAGGTCACGCACCAGTTTAATTATGTTAAACTTGCACATAGTGTATTTTTGTATTGTTTGTTTGTTGTTTAACGCCCTGCTACTTGCACATAGTGTATTTTTGTATTGTTTGTTTGTTGTTTAACGCCCTGCTATTCCAGCTATATAACGACGGTCTGTAAATAATCGAGTCCAGACCAGACAATCCAGTGATTAATATCATGAACATCAATCTATGCACTTGGGATACCATGACATGCATCAACCAAGTTGGCGAGCCTGACCACCTGATCCTGTTAGTCGTCTCTTATGACAAACATGGTTGCTGGAGACCTATTCTAACCCAGGTAATAGTCCATGTTCCTCTTTTCGGTAAATGATGAATGCAACTGCTTCATTGGGTACTGTGCTGGGTAGTGTAGTGCAGGTACCTGTGTAATATATTTGAGCCCCCCAAGCCCTCCAAGCCCTGAGAATAATTATGTGATCACCATGTTTCTTTACATGAAATGGGTGGTGTTTCTGTGGCAAGGCACAGGTGATACAGGGATATATCGAGACCTGCGAGGCCGATATCTGGCCCCATCTGCATCAAATGCCAGTAGAAATCCCAATTCATTGATAACATGGTTAATAATAGTTATAACTGTTGGTAAGGGTATCTGTATATCACTGATAACAGGTTTGGTTTGTTGTTTAAGGCCGCACTCAGCAATATTCCAGCTATATGACGTCGGTCTGTAAATAATCGAGTCTAGGGACCCCTTAGGGATCTAACTGTCAAATTTTAAAAGTTAGATCCCTGCTTAGAGGGATCTAATTAATTCTTATACCAAGACTAGAACTGTATTGTTCCACTATACGGTATCCCAGTGTTTTTTGTATTTGTTGCTGGTATTCCTTGCATTTAGATGGTTCATAAGTTATTCAGAGGTTTTGCTAGAATGGTACAGAAAATATAGTTGATTTTCATGAACTGTTTCTGTTACCATGGTTACAGTGGGTACAGACAGGAGGAGCTTCAGTCACACATAGAGAAACTGCATGAGTACAACGAGATCAAAGACACAGGGCAGATGATCCTCGGCAGGATAGGTAAGCTGTAGAAACACCACCCAGACTTGTCCGCCGTGTAGCTCTACCACAGGTGTAGAAACACCATCCAGACTTGTCCGCCGTGTAGCTCTACCACAGGTGCAGAAACACCACCCAGACTTGTCCGCCGTGTAGCTCTACCACAGGTGTAGAAACACCATCCAGACTTGTCCGCCGTGTAGCTCTACCACAGGTGCAGAAACACCACCCAGACTTGTCCGCCGTGTAGCTCTACCACAGGTGCAGAAACACCATCCCGACTTGTCCGCCATGTAGCTCTACCACAGGTGCAGAAACACCATCCAGACTTGTCCGCCGTGTAGCTCTACCACAGGTGCAGAAACACCAGCCAGACTTGTCCGCCGTGTAGCTCTACCACAGGTGCAGAAACACCACCCAGACGTGTCCGCCGTGTAGCTCTACCACAGGTGCAGAAACACCATCCCGACTTGTCCGCCGTGTAGCTCTACCACAGGTGCAGAAACACCACCCAGACGTGTCCGCCGTGTAGCTCTACCACAGGTGCAGAAACACCACCCAGACTTGTCCGCTGTGTAGCTCTACCACAGGTGCAGAAACACCGCCCGGACTTGTCCGCCATGTAGCTCTACCACGGGTGTAGAAACACCACCCAGACTTGTCCGCCGTGTAGCTCTACCACGGGTGCAGGAACACCACCCAGACTTGTCCACCGTGTAGCTCTACCGCAGGTGAAGAAACACAACCCAGACTTGTCCACCGTGTAGCTCTACCGCAGGTGAAGAAACACCACCCAGGCTTGTCCGCCGTGTAGCTCTACCGCAGGTGCAGAAACACCACCCAGACTTGTCCGCCGTGTAGCTCTACCACAGGTGTAGAAACATCACCCAGACTTGTCCGCCGTGTAGCTCTACCACAGGTGCAGAAACACCATCCCGACTTGTCCGCTGTGTAGCTCTACCACAGGTGCAGAAACACCGTCCCGACTTGTCCGCCATGTAGCTCTACCACGGGTGCAGAAACACCACCCAGACTTGTCCGCCGTTTAGCTCTACCACGGGTGCAGAAACACCGCCCAGACTTGTCCGCCGTGTAGCTCTACCGCAGGTGAAGAAACACCACCCAGACTTGTCCGCCGTGTAGCTCTACCACAGGTGTAGAAACATCACCCAGACTTGTCCGCCGTGTAGCTCTACCACAGGTGCAGAAACACCATCCCGACTTGTCCGCTGTGTAGCTCTACCACAGGTGCAGAAACACCGTCCCGACTTGTCCGCCATGTAGCTCTACCACGGGTGCAGAAACACCACCCGGACTTGTCCGCCGTGTAGCTCTACCACAGGTGCAGAAACACCATCCTGACTTGTACTACAGGCATTACAAACATGATCTATACATACCGTATTCGACGTAATAAGCGCCCCACTCTAATAAGCGTCCACCGGCGATATTTGCTAATATATTGGCTGGTGAACAATCCCAATTAGCACCCCTTCCAATTGATCAATGTGCACAAGACTTATTTATTCTCGTATAATACATGTGTTATATGCATCCTTAATCATGGGAAATTAAATTCTGGAAAAATATATCTGTCGTATATAAACATTTCAGGCTGTCAGCATAAACCATGAAATTACGATCTTTCAACTCTGTTGTTTTTCACTAAAATAATATTCTAATAAGAGCCCCCTATTTCTAATTTTGAGAGCGCCTTGGGCGCTTATTATGTCAAATACGGTATGTGAAGTATGCACAAAAGCGATGGGTTCATGTCAGGGGTCCGGAAAATTTAAAATCCCAGTCGGACATTTGCATTCAGGCCACGCCCCCTTCAAATAGCATATTTTTGTACAACTTTTCACACACATTACAAGTTGTTACGTACAGTGTTCCCTCGTTATTGAGCGCTTCGGTTATAGCGCGCGGTAAAGCATAGCCCCCAAAATTGACTAACATTTTTAATAAACTCAAGTTTTCCAATAACACAATGTTTTTCCCATCTCAGAAAACATTATCAGCTGATCACCGCGATCACATAACACCGGAAATACCAGTCAACAAATCCGAACTGAAGTACGCAATTTAATCCTATCATTATAATATCTGGTGATAAAAAAAATTGTTCACGGTTTATCTGGACTAGAGTTTGCAATATATTTGATTAATTTTATTCAATATTTCATTCAATAATTATAATGATGTTTACAATAATTTCGGCGAAATCGTATGCGAAGTGATCGGTAGATCGCACAACTCACTGTTATTTACAGCAACCACGGTCAGATTACCGCTATTGACGCCTTGAAACGAACTTTTGTTGCAAGAGAATTGATACACATATCATAAATGCTGTACCATGACTCGCTAAAAGTCATATTTGAGGCAGTTTGACTATTAAATGTCAACATAACGTTTTTCGCAATTGAAATACATGTTGCGCGGGAAGTCCCTACGGTGACTGGTCAAAATCGTTACATACGTAAAAAAATATCCTGCATACCATCTGTACCAAGTGCTACGCTTATGATTCTTATAATTTTAAGTATATATGATGGAAACTGCAACTAAAATAACACGATATTGGAATATATTATTCCGGATAAATTAAATTTCATATTCAATTTTTTCCGACCATTGCATCAAAATTCTTTGAAGTTGTATCATTGCGTACGTTTTAACTGAATCACCAGTAGATTGGGAGGAAACGTGTGCACAGCTGATTGCTAGTTCCGGCTTAGTTTACGAGAAAATACACACAGTAATCTTAATCACTGCATATAAAACAATGCCTTGGAGAGCAGGAAATACATATATATAATGGTAAATCATCATAACTAGAAATGTTTTATATCAAATTCATACTTTTATTGACCAATATATACCTGATTATTCACCTGAATTCGCTGAAGGGATACGATAACGCTCACCAATTATTTGAACCCCGAAGGTAGCGTTGTTTGTTTTTTAAAATGTCCAGACAGAAAAATTTAAATGTCCGGTAAGCAACATTTTAAACCGGACATTTGAGATTCCCAATCGGACATGTCCAGCGCATATGACCGTTTCCGGACCCTTAGTTCATGTATTACTATCCAAACATATTGCTACTGTGAGCTTATGAATGTAAGCAAATTAGAAGTCACATGAAACAGAATTTTAAGCAGAATTATGTATGAAACAAGTCTACTGATTTGGGTTTAACACCGCTTTTAACAGTATTACAGTTATATCACGGTGTGTCTGCTTAATGTGGGAGGAAAGCCCGAAGTGATGCAGGTCTCAGACGTTTACCACTTTGGTGAAACCCACGACCATGGGTATGGTGCTGACAAATTCTGAAAAGACATTTACAAATATTTTCAAGCACCTGTTGCATTTTCTTGTATTTATTTCTTGCAGCAACAATGGAAGCTGTGAGAACAAAGGACCTGTATGAGAAATATGGGTTAGAGTTGGAGGATTGACAGAACTTGTGTGATGTCAGCTTTTATTCTGTCCGAGTTGTCCTCGAACCTCTTTTAGATATGACCTGAATGGACTGTCCTATTTGGCCAGGAACCTCTATTAGATGTGACCTGAATGGACTGTCCTAGTTGGCCAGGAACCTCTATTAGATGTGACCTGAATGGACTGTTCGAGTTGGCCAGGAACCTCTATTAGATGTGACCTGAATGGACTGTCCGAGATGGCCAGGAACCTCTTAGATGTGACCTGAATTGACTGTCAGAGTTGACCAGGAACCTCTTAGATGTGACCTGAATGGACTGTCAGAGTTGGCCAGGAACCTCTATTAGATGTTTCCTGAATGGACTGTCAGAGTTGGCCAGGAACCTCTTAGATGTGACCTGAATAGACTGTTCGAGTTGGCCAGGAACCTCTTAGATGTGACCTGAATGGACTGTCAGAGTTGGCCAGGAACCTCTTAGATGTGACCTGAATGGACTGTCCTAGTTGGCCAGGAACCTCTTAGATGTGACCTGAATGGACTGTCCTAGTTGGCCAGGAACCTCTTAGATGTGACCTGAATGGACTGTCCTAGTTGGCCAGGAACCTCTTAGATGTGACCTGAATGGACTGTTCGAGTTGACCAGGAACCTCTTAGATGTGACCTGAATGGACTGTCCGAGTTGGCCAGGAACCTCTTAGATGTGACCTGAATGGACTGTCCGAGTTGGCCAGGAACCTCTTAGATGTGACCTGAATGGACTGTTCGAGTTGGCCAGGAACCTCTTAGATGTGACCTGAATGGACTGTCAGAGTTGGCCAGGAACCTCTTAGATGTGACCTGAATGGACTGTCCTAGTTGGCCAGGAACCTCTATTAGTTGTGACCTGAATGGACTGTCCTAGTTGGCCAGGAACCTCTATTAGATGTGACCTGAATGGACTATCAGAATTGGCCAGGAACCTCTACAACATAATGCCTGAATGCTTGGTCCTGCTAAAACCTCTTTTAGATGCAGCATTAGATTAAAGGCTCTGTGAAACTTGACAGTAATCCTGTTAGATTGGACCAGAAACTTGTTCTGGGCTTCAGCTGATTTGCTTGATACTATCTGACATGAGGTACGGTTCCTGTCTCCTCCTGTTGGACGATGCAGCCTCTATACTGAAGGAATGTTATTTGATTTGTTGTTCAAGATTATTGAATTAATGTCTTTCATTCTGCAAATTCGCATTTGTTTACTTTTAAATAAATGTATTAAACTATGAATGTTTGGGTTCCCTACGCATGTTTCCTTGTAGCATCAGATGGATCTGTCATGTGTGTCTGTGTGTGGTGGATGTTGTGTGTGGTGGATGTTGTGTGTGTCAGTGTGTGGTGGATGTTGTGTGTGTCAGTGTGTGGTGGATGTCATGTGTGTCAGTGTGTGGTGGATGTTGTGTGTGTCAGTGTGTGGTGGATGTTGTGTGTGTCAGTGTGTGATGGATGTCATGTGTGTCAGTGTGTGGTGGATGTCGTGTGTGCCAGTGTGTGGTGGATTTTGTGTGTGCCTTGTGTGTGGTGGATGTCTTGTGTGTCAGCGTGTGGTGGATGTCGTGTGTGTCAGTGTGTGGTGGATGTTGTGTGTGCCAATGTGTGGTGGATGTCATGTGTGCCTTGTGTGTGATGGATGTCTTGTGTGTCAGCGTGTGGTGGATGTCTTGTGTGTCAGTGTGTGGTGGATGTTGTGTGTGTCAGTGTGCGGTGGTTGTCGTGTGTGCCTTGTGTGTGGTGGATGTCTTATGTGTCAGCGTGTGGTGGATGTCTTGTGTGTCAGTGTGTGGTGGATGTCGTGTGTGCCAGTGTGTGGTGGATGTCGTGTGTGCCTTGTGTGTGGTGGATGTCTTGTGTGTCAGCGTGTGGTGGATGTCGTGTGTGCCTTGTGTGTGGTGGATGTTGGTCTGTGCCTTGTGTGTCAGTGTGTGGTGGATGTTGTGTGTGCCAATGTGTGGTGGATGTCGTGTGTGCCTTGTGTGTGGTGGATGGCGTGTGTGCCTTGTGTGTGGTGGATGGCGTGTGTGCCAGTGTGTGGTGGATGTCTTGTGTGTCAGCGTGTGGTGGATGTCGTGTGTGCAAGTGTGTGGTGCATGGCGTGTGTATCAGTGTGTGGTGGATGTCGTTTGTGCCTTGTGTGTGGTGGATGTCGGTCTGTGCCTTGTCTGTGGTGGATGTCGTGTGTGCCTTATGTGTGGTGGATGTCGTGTGTGCCTTGTGTGTGGTGGATGTTATGTGTGTGTCAGTGTGTGGTGGATGTTGTGTGTTGTGGATCTTGTGTGTGGTGGATGTCGTGTGTGCCTTGTGTGTGGTGGATGTTATGTGTGTGTCAGTGTGTGGTGGATGTTGTGTGTGTCTTGTGTGTAGTGGATGTTGTGCGTGCCTTATGTGTAGTGGATGTTGTGTGTGTCAGGGTGTGGTGGATGTCGTGTGTGCCTTGTGTGTGGTGGATGTTATGTGTGTGTCAGTGTGTGGTGGATGTCGTGTGTGCCTTGTGTGTGGTGGATGTTGTATGTGCCTCGTGTGTAGTGGATGTTGTGTGTGCCTTGTGTGTGGTGGATGTCGTGTGTGCCTTGTGTGTGATGGATGTCGGTGTGTGCCTTGTGTGTGATGGATGTCGGTGTGTGCCTTGTGTGTGATGGATGTCGGTGTGTGCCTTGTGTGTGATGGATGTAGGTGTGTGCCTTGTGTGTGATGGATGTCGGTGTGTGCCTTGTGTGTGATGGATGTCGGTGTGTGGTGGATGTTGTATGTGCCTTGTGTGTGGTGGATGTTGTGTGTGCCTTGTGTGTGGTGGATGTTGTGTGTGCCTTGTGTGTGGTGGATGTTGTGTGTGGTGGATGTTGTGTGTGCCTTGTGTGTGGTGGATGTCGTGTGTGCCTTGTGTGTGGTGGATGTCGTGTGTGCCTTGTGTGTGGTGGATGTTGTGTGTGCCTTGTGTGTGGTGGATGTCGTGTGTGCCTTGTGTGTGGTGGATGTTGTGTGTGCCTCGTGTGTAGTGGATGTTGTGTGTGCCTCGTGTGTGGTGGATGTCGTGTGTGCCTTGTGTGTGATGGATGTTGGTGTGTGCCTTGTGTGTGGTGGATGTTGTGTGTGGTGGATGTTGTGTGTGGTGGATGTCGTGTGTGCCTTGTGTGTAGTGGATGTCGTGTGTGCCTTGTGTGTGGTGGATGTCGTGTGTGCCTTGTGTGTGGTGGATGTCGTGTGTGCCTTGTGTGTGGTGGATGTCAGTGTGTGCCTTGTGTGTAGTGGATGTCGTGTGTGCCTTGTGTGTGGTTGATGTCGTGTGTGCCTTGTGTGTGGTGGATGTCGTGTGTGCCTTGTGTGTGGGGTATGTTGTGTGTGCCTTATGTGTGGTGGATGTCAGTGTGTGCCTTGTGTGTAGTGGATGTCGTGTGTGCCTTGTGTGTGGTGGATGTCGTGTGTGCCTTGTGTGTGGGGTATGTTGTGTGGGTCTATGTGTTGTGGATGTCGGTGTGTGCCGGATGTTGTGTGTGTGTCAGTATGTGGTGGATGTCATGTGTGCGATTGCATCCAAGGAAAAAACGATGACTGGTCAGCTCGGAATCAGTATACTATGTCCGTGTAGGGATCCATGTTACACTAAAGTATGGTATCTCAGTTTGTTTGTTGTTTAACGCAGTACTCTGCAATATTCCAGCTGTATGACAGCGGTCTGTAAATAAACGAGTCCAGACAATCCAGTGATTAACACCATTAGCATCAATCCACACAATTTGGATACGATGACATGCATCAACCAAGTCAGCGAGTCTGACCACCAGATCACGTTAGTCGCCTCATACAGTATCTCAGTGGTTCAGCACTTTAAAACCAGCATAAGTCCGGACAAGTACAATCAGTCTCTCACCACGCACCAATAATCTGGAATGCGACGTTAAACCCAATTTCGTAGCACCCCACTTGCGATGTTGCTCATGCTATCAGCCACTGGTTTGTTTGGTCACTTATTATTGGGATGGTGGGTCAGAGGAATCAGGAGGGTCACCAAAAATATTACAGTCTCTTTGGGAGATATAAAAAGATATTACACATATTTAGGAGGGTTTTGAAATAGTGGACATTTTATGACAAATAGTGTTTTCGCATTTTGTCATGAAGACCATGTTAAAGGACATGGGGAGAGTCAACATGAATGTGACAAAATGGGATTTTGTATCAAGATCAGATACTTTCAACTACAGCTACAAAGCCAGATATTTTTCTTTTTAAAACTATGAGTCTGAGTTTGTTTTAAGAAAAACATCTTGCAACAATGCATTTTTTGTTATACAAAAACATGACAATTTTTTCGATCGCAGCCCCCGTCCCCCAAAATAGCCAAATGGTGTGTATTGTTATTTATGCTCTCAACCATGTGTGTAATCAAGACTTGTTACATGGTTCCATGAAATTGCGGACTACGTCATTCAACAGGTCTCTCACTGCAGTAAACCAACATTGATGTGTTGAATGCATGGCAGTACTCAATGGTTCAATCTTGCTGGAATCAGAGCTATCCTCATGGACGTCATATCTTTCTTGCCCCAGTTAAGTCAAGAGCATGTTTTGTTTCATAATCTAGATTTGGGTTTTGAACACTTACAGCAAAGTTGTTCAACAATTGATTCGAAAGCACATAAATACAGGATTCGAGTTTTGCATCTATGAGGTCATCCACAGGAGCACTATCTTAACTCAGGCCATAATTTTTTTAATATTTGCTTCACAGACTTTTTACAGGAAACTACCTGTCAGTAGGTGAAAAAAACAGAAAAGCAATTCGATTTTTTTTTCTGCTCCACTGCAGGTTAGCTGGTATAAAAACATTAAAATGGCTGAATGGGGGACCCAGCTGTTGATTTAAACAATGAAAATCTGACGAATCAAACAGGAATACTATTGGGTATTTCTGTATCCAATCAATTTAAGGAACAACAAACTTTCTTTTTTTTAAAACTCCCATGTATAATATATGTCAACTTCAGTGGATCCTTATTTAAAAAATATATTTTTCAGGTGCAATATGCTACCCGGTTTCAGTTTATCAGCAGGATTTTAAAAAAAGGCGAATTCTGAAGAATGTTTTTTCATTACAACAAAATGTAATCAGCGGATCCATGAAGCAAGTGAGAAAAAATTGTGGCCTCATTGTCTGGCTTTGTGTGTAGGCAGTTGTATGTATTGCAGGATGTAGGGGCCATAACAGACCCATTTCACTGAGGGGCAGCAACTCACTGCAGAGTTGCCTCCCTTGGCTGTGGGGAACCACCCTGATTAGATTCTTGTCAACACAATGTCCATGGTAGACATCACCACTGTGGTACACCAGGGATTAACCTGTGCATCTCGATGCTTTACACATGGAGTTTCATTTACGTTTACAGAAGAAAACCGTTACGAAAATGCTGCTGAACCAAATGTGACTATGAACATACTGTGATCATACTGCTAAATTAAAATCAGAATTGTGTCCATTTGCTTTAAGCTGCTGGAAGAGGGTGCAATTGTCAAATTCCTCAGGTTGAGTCATATAAATAAAATGTGGCAAGCAATGTGCTTTTAAGTATGAAGTTGTGCTGGCATCTCTTAACCCCTGAACAAGAATATAAGTTTGCTAAAAGTACTGAATATATGACGACAGACAAATAGAATTTCAGAATATTCAGTGTGAGCTCAAGGTAGTACCTTCAGCGTAATCATCTATGTGTGCTGCCTAATACCTGAATCTCTTCGATGACTTAATGGGGTGGTTGGGTAGCCTACTGGTTAAAGCGTTCACTCCTCGACCTGGGTTTGATTTGACATGGGCACAATGTGTGAAGCCCATTTCTGGTGTCCCCCACCGTGATAGTGCTGGAATATTGCTAAAATTGGCATAAAACCATACTAACTCACTCATTGACTTAAACATCAAACCTTAACAGAGACTAAAAAATAAATAAGCAAGTCCGTTTGATGGTTGTTTTTAATGTTTATTGTACACATGAGAGTGAGTCTATGAGATGTAGAATTATAAATATGCTACAGTCTGTAAAATCTCGGAACTGGTAGAATAGACGACGACATGAGTCGAGACCAAAGACAATGAAACAAGTGATGTTGAACATCCTTTAAAACCACTCAGCTGTAACAATAAAAGTCTAATGTCATCTAGGCTAATAAACTGTGGAGAGGTGCCAGTGGGCCACGCCCCCTTTAGGGGAGACAACTCCCCCGTGGAGGAAATGTCCATGTAGCCCACCAAATCATGAAGATGATTATTGCTTGCAGTGGAATAAGTTACTTCTTGGCCTTCTTAGCTCCTGCCCTCTTGGTCTTTTTCTTGCCACCTGAAAAATATAAAACAATGTACATTCTATACATGCATCATCCTCTATTGTCCTATATCTTCACTTCAATATGATGAACCATTCACTACCATAACGTTTAGCAAGAGTCATCACCATCTCTTTTATCTGAACCTCTAAGGCGCCGCGATTCGCTGTGCAGAGTTGCGTCCCTTGGGCTCGCCAAAAACCTATGATTGTGGGTTCGAATCCCGGTTCGCCCCAATTATGTTTCTAGGTTTGTCAGCACCATACCCGTGCTCGTGGGTTTCACCAAAGTGGTAAACGTCTGAGACCTGCATCACTTCGGGCTTTCCTCCCACATTAAGCTGACACGCCGTGATACTGGAATACTGTTAAAAGCCGTGCTAAACCCAACTCACTCACTCACTCCGAACCTTATAACACAATCAGCTGCCTGTTCTTTACGTTCTGTTAGGCTTAACAAGAAGAATTGGTTGTTTTGACATTGCATTCTTTTTCACTGTTCTTTGTTGTTTTTTTGCCTTGTTAATCATACTTGAGAATTACATGATATATTTATGAATTAAGTCGAAACTCTCAGCATATAAACAGATTTTCTGTTCATTTTAATGATTTTCTTCTCGAAATCAATCCTCGCAGTTTCAAATCAGAATTCTGAAAAATGGAAAGGGGAGACAACTCTTACCGGCCTTCTTTGCGGGCTTCTTCTTCGTTGGCTTCTTTGCTGTGGAAGGAAAACAGAAAATTTTGATGTACATAATTTGCCCACAGCAGCTTGAAACATGGAGAAGACTTGCGAGTTAGTCCTTAAAAGGATACATTTCTATTATGAAATTACCCATACAAAATTCACAATTCTGAGCAAAGTCATAAGAATCTGGTACACAACACAGTCTTACTTTCAGTTTGAGTGAGTGCAATATTCCTGCAATATGATGGCAGGAACCCCAGAAATAGGCTCTACATATTGTACCCATGTGGGCAATCAACGCCACATCTTTGGCTTGATGAGCACAGCTTTAACCACAAGGCTACAGCTGCTGCCCTGTAAGCTGACTGATGTTCAGTAAATGCTATTCAAAGTGCAAAACAACATTGTACAAGTTTTGGCTGCATGTGAACTTTGCAGAATTATTAGAATGTGGGGGGTGGCCGGGTAGCCTAGTGGTTAAAGCGTTCGCTCGTCACGCCTAAGACCGGGGTTCGATTCCCGACATGGGTACAATGTGTGAAGCCCATTTCTGGTGACCCCCGCGGTGATATTGCTGGAATATTGCTAAAAGCGGTGTAAAACCATACTCACTCACTCACTCACTATTAGAATGTGGCCCATTGTCAGCTTATCTTCATCATCAGTGGTTACTAAACTTATCCCTGTTATTCCACTGCATGTTTGTACAAGAGTTAGAGGCGGCGTGATAGCCTAGTGATCAAAGAGTTTGCCTGGTTTTTATTTCACAAATTGACACAATGTGTGAAGCCTATGTCTGGTGTCCACCGCCAATATGTTGCTGGAATGTTGCTGGGTAAAACCAAAGTCACTGAGAGTGAGTGAGTGAATATGGTTTTACGCCGCTTTTAGCAATATTCCAGCAATACCACAGCGGGGGACACCAGAAATGGGCTTCACACATTGTACCCATGTCGGGAATCGAACCCTGGTCTTCGGCATGAGGAGCGAACGCTTTAACCACTTGGCTACCCGACCGCCCCCAAAGTGACTGAGACTGCATACTGACTGTTCAATGAAGGAGTCATTTCAGAATTGGGAGGAACATATTGAAGCACCATGCCCATTGGTCGATTAATGTGCACCATTCAAATGGAGAAATAGAATGAATTATTAATAGTGGTAGCCCACTGTTCTGATTAGGGCATGGATGGCCTAGTGATCTAATGTGCAAAGTTGCCTCCCTTAGCCATGCCAGGATCAGCTGATAGTGAACCCCAGATAATGATGCTCATTCTGTTGACACACACACACACACACACACACACAGTGGTATCGAATCCAGTGATGCTGACATAGATAGTCACTCCCATGCCTGCAGGTGTTTTTCACTGAAGCGGTCACCACGACAACCCGTTTCTTTGGGGTTTCCACCCATTGACACAGGTGTTGAAACAATGAAACATAAGTATTGTTCAAACCAGCATGAAACTCCCCAACTCGCTCACTGTAGTCTGACACTAACCAGGTTTCTTAGGTGCTGCCTCTGCCCCTGCCTTCTTAGGCTTTGTAGCTGCCATTACTGTTTAGCTGAAACACAACACATCATCATCAGAATAATAAAATAATAGTTACAACCAGCCTGACTGAGCCAGGATCACCCAAACCCTCTTTGCTTCATTTTTTATTTTAATCTATAAATAATAATAATAATAATAATGGGCCTTTTACATTGCGCTATATTACAACACAGGGGAAGAATACTCAAAGCCTACACTATTATTAGTTTTATTACCCACGTCACCCGACGCATGTACTAGCAAGGCAATACAATCACCTACCTCCCTTCCTCCCTTTGTCGGGAGTCAAATAACACATTGAAAACCTGCGGAGCCATTTGTGACACATAGAAGCCATGCAACCTGTCGCTATACATGCTTGATCAATATAAGAACATGTATGTCTTCCTCAATTATACAATTTATTATATCTCCATCTTACTATGATAAATACCCTGGACCACTCATGTCTCAAGCCAGCACCTTAAAACAGTTTTGCTTGTGTTTCTTCATGAGTTTGAAATAGTAGACAATAGACTGAAGGATCCATATCGATAGGGTGTCTATGCCTTTCTTCATGAAGCATACTGAGAAGTCAATAAGCATCTGGAGTGACAGAATCATTCGACAAGATGCCTACTTGTTGTAGCAAATGAACACCTCATTTTGGAGGGGTTATGGAAATTCAGATTAACCTACTTGCAAATGAACACCTCATTTTGGAAGGGTTGTAGAAATTCAGATTAACTGGTAGCAAATGAACACCTCATTTTGGAGGGGTTATGGAAATTCAGATTAACTACATGTAGTAGCAAATGAACACCTCATTTTGGAGGGGTTATAGAACTTCAGGTCAACTAGTTATGTACACCTCATTTTGGGGGGTTATGTTGTAACTGTTATAATTTCCCCTGCTTACATGACATGTGTGTTTAAGTCACATATGAAACATAAGGAAGTAGAAACACCATGGTATGTCCTTAGATTGGAATGCATATCCTAAGTAGAATAACCATAATAACTGCTGTATTCTTGCTGACATTCACTATGGCAACCACAGATATTCAAATGACAGGTCAGGACTGAAAGCAGGGAAATTTTAGCAGTAATTACAATGTTTACAAAAGCTAAAAAAATTGATTTTGCAACTATTGACTGTTACAATGCCTGTGAAGGGAGGTTTTGTTAGATTTCTCCAGGAAGGCATCAGCTGTTTGGGTTAATGTCACACCACAATATTTCTTACACTGTATGTGTCCTACGATAGGCACTTGTACCAAAGAAGTATTCATTCTTAGTGAAAGTTTCTTTCTCATGCCCATGCTACCAGCTGATATGAGTGTTATACAACCATCCGACTATCCATGCTACCAGCTGATATGAGTGTTAAACAACCATCCGACTATCCATGATACAAGCTGATATGAATGTCATACAACCATCTGACTATCCATGATACCAGCTGATATGAGTGTTATACAACCATCTGACTATCCATGATACCACCTGATACAAGTGTTATACAACTAACACAATTGAATGCCAAGTGTTTAAAGTCTAAGACCTGCATCGCTTCAGGTCAAGCTGGCATGCCATGACAAAACTGGAATACTTTTGAAAGTGCTACCCTGTCTGACGCTTGGCACTGAGGGGCTAAAACATGGACTGGTTGGCTTGGAGTCAGTATACTGTGTCGGAGTGGGGTATTCATGTTAAACTGTGGCATGGTATCTCAGTCCAAGCAGCCACACAAACACACACACGTAAATGTACGTTGCTATATAAGTGCAATATGGACGAAAACTTGGATGCAACGTTAAACGCCATTTTACCTCACCTTTGAAAGTGCACTCACTCATACAAGAATGCCATCTGGAATATGCTGAGTAAAGATAACAGCAGACACCACAAAGGAGGAAAACACTGCACTGATTTTGAAATACCCCAGCTCCAACTCTGAACAAACCATCCCTGCCTAATGCACACTGTGCGCGTTCATTGAATTTACACCCAAATCCTCTATCGACTGACTGGATAACTGGGAAAACAGGTGATCGCAACCACGCTTGACTTGCGTCCATCGTACTTTAGGACACGCCCACCTTTCATTCAGTACGTATTGTGCCCTTGACATTAACGCAACAACGTCCCAAAGCCCGATGCTAGCTAACGTGTGGATACACAGAGCCTATCAAATCGGAGAGCGTACTGTATCTGTAATATCAATTCAAGCGTTTGAATCGGAGGTTTCACTTCCGCGACCCACTCGAATACGGCCGTATTACGTGATAGCCAAGTGTTTGAAATCCGAGCCGATTTTGAATATGACTGTTAGTCATGTACATGTTCCCGCGTCAAGCTGATACCATAATAGCGGGGAGGAGGGTTGAATAACGACCGCTATTTTCAAAGCGCCATATCTTGATTTCAAAATTTGATCCCGCTAAAATTATAATTTTTTTTTTTTCAAAGATGTTTCCGAATTACCACAACCAAAGATCGATAAAACAAAGAAACACTTCATAAACAACAAAGAAAACTATAGACTATTTGAAGTAAACAATGATAGTATCATACAACTTCCACACGATATATGTAATGGAGGTTGCGAACGAAGTGAACACTACAAGCTAACTACGCCAAGCCGATATATACCATTGTATTGATTTGTTTGTTTGTCTTGAGCGATGACAGATGTCACAGCTCCAAGCGTAAACGTATGTGTTGTAGATCCAAAATACAACTAGCGTTGACAAGATAACCAGTAATCCCCTTTGGCCGATCTGCCACCTGCATTAGTGCTCTTGGGGATTGACACATCAACACATCCCCCTCATTTCAACAGTCTTTTCTCTCGCACACAAACATTTCCTACAGGTGATTATTTGGAGCATATTACTTGTTGATCTGCGTAAATCCATTGAAAAAGACACTTAAACCACACTCTTATCGTCGAGGAAGAGTTTGCGTAAAATTGTAAACAAACGCTCAGAAAAACAAACACACACAACTGAACTATCTCTTACCAATCGTTTCGTTCGTGTTGATTCAATGGACGCGCAAAGTAAAAATGGCGGCATAACAGGAAGAACGCTGCAGTAACAACTATTTTTCTACAAAATCTGACAGCAAAAACATAAATGAAACAATCAAAATCTATTCAGAAACAACTTATGCAAATACCTGCACATGCAAATTAAATAAAATATAAGTCTAATATAGATATTTTCTTACTGTATATTCACCCACTCTTTGTGTCGCTGATCACTTGCCAAGACTTCCCTGAGCTAGTACAGAGCGCACAACCGACGCTTTCGCTCAGAGAGCGGTAAACAGCTCTCAGATTGGATAAACCAATCAAAATCAAGCTTAGGACTTACTTAAATATTCCAGCCAATCCGAATCCAGGTTTTCGTTATATCCCAGGGAAATACCTTAACCGTTACTCCATTCTGATTGGTGGATTTGTGTTTGTATCCGAAAATAGTGGAATGCAGGTCATCGTACTACAAGCAACGTCGACGATGGATCGTCCTCTCCCACGCGTTAGGGGGTGACCCTATTCATGGCGCAAGTAACTTGATCGATAAGCAATGACTCAAACAAACAGGAGGACGATTGTTTCATTGAAGCGCGAGGCGTATCGATCAGTGCACGCGAAACGCTGGAGAGACGCGCTTGTTTGAAAAAGATCGTTTATGCAATTTCGGCTCCGATCTTTGTATTGCAGCAGACTTTATAGTTTTAATATCTGCCATTGTAGGACAAATGTTGCATTTATATCGCGATATCTTTCCACTAGTCAAGAACACACAATACTAGGAAAACCCCTTTCGATAGTTTGCATCGATTCAAGGCTAACCAGAAACATCGATCGAACTCGAGAATAGGTTGACGCGGTTGTATACTGCATAAAACTACTGCGCTAAATGCTACTGTTGATTGTAAGGTATAACTCAGATGGATAATGAGTGTGGTTAACAATAGATCGACATTTGCACACAACAACTACGCGTCTAAGTCCTCTCCATTGAGTATGCGTCACCGCGCAGCACAAACGAAAGCCCGGTTTGACAGACTTCTAAAGCGATGATAAAATATAGATGCCCATGACTGTGGCTCATATATAATAATTATTTCCTCTGCGATTTATCGAATTGATACTTTGCTGTTGAAAATATAATACAGCCGTTTTCTACAAGGAAACAAAGGGATATCTGATTGAATTGAAGCGTTGGCCGCGCGAACGCTCCTTTAAACACGCGCATTTGCGAGCCTTCTCTTAAATAACTATGGAACTATGCTATGGAAATGTGAATATGTTAGATGAACAAACTTGTATTGGTTACATTAGGATATTTATGCATAAGCATAGAAATGTTAACACGCTTTTCAAATCTTTACGTAAAATATTGCGTATTGATTTCCGTTTTGAAATATCTAGTATGCATATGATAGCATGTATTGAACATGCATGTTATTTGAATAGCAGCACAAAGCCTCGCGGCTTACTATGAATATTACCTGTGATCAACTGTGGGAAGGCCGAGATCACCTTTATTACCTGGCGGGCATAAACGCCACACCCACCAAACTGTATCCATGGCCCAACATAACAAATATACCCGCACACAAAGACCACGCAGTCGCGCACCTCCCGCCATTAGCTCGTTTGAATCTCATACAGTGCAAAATATTGACTTCATCAAGGGTTACCTTCAATGTTTTTTCAAGGTGATTTACGCTTCTACCTGTGTTGTGTTCAAGCGCATTATGGGATTTGGAAAGTGACTATCGGAATTTGTACATGTGGTTTGTGGACACGTATAAGTCTCATGTGTTGCCGAGATCTCATATTATCAACCTTGAAGGTGTTTGAAGAGCACGAGAGTCACTGTTATGACTTTTCGTCATCATTTGATTAACACACGAACAACAATTAATTACAGAAAATATACACCGGGCAAAATGTTAAGTTCTGCTCTGCCTTTATTATTCCTCGACCTAACCGGGTTTTGCGGGGGATATAGAAATGTTTTGCTGGGGGATATAGAAACGTTTTGCGGGGGATATAGAAATGTTTTGCTGGGGGATATAGAAACGTTTTGCGGGGGATATAGAAACGTTTTGCGGGGGGTATAGAAACGTTTTGCTGGGGGATATAGAAACGTTTTGCGGGGGATATAGAAATGTTTTGCTGGGGGATATAGAAACGTTTTGCTGGGGGATATAGAAATGTTTTGCTGGGGGATATAGAAACGTTTTGCGGGGGATATAGAAATGTTTTGCTGGGGGATATAGAAATGTTTTGCGGGGGATATAGAAATGTTTTGCTGGGGGATATAGAAACGTTTTGCTGGGGGATATAGAAATGTTTTGCGGGGGATATAGAAATGTTTTGCGGGGGATATAGAAATGTTTTGCTGGGGGATATAGAAATGTTTTGCTGGGGGATATAGAAATGTTTTGCGGGGGATATAGAAATGTTTTGCTCGGGGATATAGAAACGTTTTGCGGGGGATATAGAAACGTTTTGCTGGGGGACATAGAAACGTTTTGCTGGGGGATATAGAAACGTTTTGCTGGGGGATATAGAAACGTTTTGCGGAGGGATACAGAAACGTTTTACGGGGGCATATACAATCGTTTTGTTGGGGCATATAGAAACGTTTTGTTGGGGCATATAGAAACGTTTTGCGGGGGGATATAGAAACGGACTCTCTTCACGTTTTGTTGTCGGAACATAACTCATAAACCGTTCACTATATTCTTTAAAAAACTTTGTTTACAGGCGTTTATTGAATTGGTGTACTTTGCTATTCAGGAATTATAGAAATTTATGTTTTTTGCGTTTCCATGGCAACAAGTTGGACTTCAAATGAGGGTAGGGTTTGTTTCCGGTGTATAACTTTTCTGGCCGTTCAATAAGTCTTTTTGAAACTTTGCATCGATAACATGCATGAATGCATTGGACAGGTACTGTTTGCTCATCAGGAATTTTTTTAAATAAATGTTTTGCGTCTCCGAGACAAGTGGGACTTCGGGTCAAACGAGGCTTGGGGACGTCTGGTTAATCCAATCCAATCCAATCCGTTTCCCTGTCACTCATTAACTGTTTATCATTTGTGTGTGAAAGTTTGTAAACACGTCAGGCAAATGCTGAACTAACTGTATTAAAATCAGACCTTAGTGCTCATTGCTTCTCACCAAAGATCTGAGGACATTCCCTCACAGGTCACTGCAGAGCGAACTTTCGCGAACTTTGACCCGACTAATGAAATGACTTACATGAAGTCGACATTAGCCAATCAGAAAGCCTCTATCTCAAATTTTACGGCACTAAGTTCAAAATTGCGACTTCCATCCCAAGCCTTCACTTTTAAAAATTATTTTGACAAAGTTCTGTTTCAAAAGTGTATTTTGGAATGTTTAACAGAAGGCCGAGGTTGTATGGCGGTACTTGGGACGGGCTATGTAAGGTCTCTTCCGTTACAAATGGCTAGACCCGTAAAGATCCGGGGTCGAATAGGTCTTCAGCAACCCATACTTGTCGCAACAGGCGTCTGTGTTTGTCGAAAGAGGCGACTAATGGGTGGTCAAGCTCACTGACTTGGTTGATGCATGTCATCGTATCCCAACAACGTGGATCGATGCTCATGATATCAATCACTGGATTGTCTGGTCCAGACTCGATTATTTACAGACCGCCGTTATATAGCTGGGATATTGTTGAGTGCGGCGTTAAAAAAAAAAGAAAAAGCATGCACGTCGCTATATAAGTGCAAAAATCCTGAACGCGTCTTTACACCCCACTTCACACACATTAACCCACCTCAAACGGACACACCGTGATATAACTGGCATAAGCGGCGTTAAACATCACTCACGTATTTAAGGATGAGGTGTGAGTATGGTTTTACGCCGCTTTTAGCAATATTCCAGCAATATCACGGCGGGGGACACAAGAAATGGGCTTCACACATTGTACCCATGTCGGGAATCGAAACCGGGTCTTCGGCGTGACGAGCAAACACTTTAACCACCAGGCTACCCGACCGCCCCTATTTAAGGATGAATGAGATGTGTTTGACGACCCTTTGAACAGTGTTACAGTTATAGAACGTCTAGGTACAAGCTCTCTGTGGAAGAAAACCTCAACGTGATGCAGGTCGTAGACGTTTACTTGTTACAGAGTATTTTTTTATTTAACCTTTTATATAACTTTATTTCAGTGACAATATGTTAGTCTTTTGATGGGGGCGACTTTAAGGTTCTCCTACATCAAATCAGAATCAGTCGTCGCCTTCAGTGCAGATTTGGGGCGGACGGGTAGCCTAGTGGTTAAAGCGTTCGCTCGTCACGCCGAAGACCCGGGTTCGATTCCCGACGTGGGTACAATGTGTGAAGCCCATTTGTGGTGTCCCCGCCGTGATTTTGCTGGAATATTGCTAAAAGCGGCGTAAAACCATACTCACTCGCAGATTGAATCATCTTGCAGCTTGGGTGATTTTGTGTAAGACTTTTACGTTTATTAAATGTACATCCATCCAGTAAATAAAGCTGACCATGTTTTTCTGTATTTTGTGGTGTCTTTTTTTAACATGATGACTGGAATGTGACCAACTGGGGGTGGCGTGTTTAGCTGCCTGTAAGCCTACACGGAAAGGGAGCTTGTCAACTTTGTTTTTTATTGCTGCTTTAAGGCCTGACTGTGACTGTGTACAGAAATTGCACATGTTATGCTTAGGTTTTTAAAAAATAAATATAACTTCACTTCAGAAGCCTATGAGAAAACATTTGGTTGTGTGTAACCGTAACATTGACAAAGGGGCGCAACTCTGCCAAGCGAATTGCGGAGCGTTCGGCCTGTGGATCACGCGAGAGCTCCAATATCTCTCTCCATGAGCACCCGAGGACAACCTACACACAGCGCTGTACTATAATCTTGAACTCCCGAGAAGCTATTCAGATTTTGTTTCTGACAACATAGAGACTTGTTCCGCCCATCTGTTTTTGTCAGGACACCCACTCGTGAAGCGGCGGACACCAAGAATGACTTCACACATTGTACACGTGGGGATTCGAACCCAGGATTAGGAAGTGTCGAGCGAACGCTTCAACCTCAAGGCTATACCCACCACTCCTGGCCATCCTCGTTTGTTTGTTGTTTAACGTAACACTCAGCAATATTCCAGCTGTATGACGGCGGTCTGTAAATAATCGAGTCTAGGCCAGACAATGCAGTAAATGACATTATGAGCATCGATCTACGCAATTAGGATACAATGACATGCATCAACCGTGTAAGCGAGTCTGACCACACGATCCCGTTAGTCGCCTTTTACGACAAGCATGGGTTGCTGAAGA